GTTTTTTATGGGCTGTGTAAAAATATCAGATTGTTGCGTCATTAGTTTAACATTTAGCTGACATTTAACGACAGCGCAGGACACAATTTAAAAGATATTTTCGGAACGTGCCAAAATAAAAAGCGACATCGTCGGATTGTTTAGAAGAAGCGAGCTGCACACGCGATTTTCTTATTGTTATTATTATTATTATTATCTTGTGGCGATATCACCGGGCCAAGACACGCCCGTGTCGTGCAATTGAAATTGAAATTGTATCTGCAAGTACGTCATTTGTATCTTTCGTACTTCTGTTACATCGTCAAGCCCATAAAAAGTAGGCAGTGTTTTAATGAGCTTTCTGTGTGCCTGATTTGTTTGTCTGACGAAGAGAGTGTGAAAATCAAGTTGAGCTTTGGCATTTAAATTGCAAACAGCTATTTTACCGAAACTTTAATCTGCAGGCTGTCAACCCGGAAGCGGAAACGCAACTTGAGCATTTGAAATTTAGAGCCGAAATTGAAATTCAATATTTTGTTAATAAACATTTAGTAACCTTTAACGGAAAGGTTTACATTGATGTACCTGAAACGGAGCTGAAATCGAAATATGATTCCGCTTAATAAGCTTTTGGTTTTTTATCTACGTTCAAATTTACTTAAACTATAAACAAATTGAGTATCAATTGCAATAAGATCAAATTTCTACCTAATTTTATCCAATTAACAATAACTTTAAAAATTCATAACTGGAATACGTCTACAAGTCAAACTAAAATTGGGTAAGTTTATGCCATAAATCGTATAATAAATAGTTAAACTTATAGACATGGTGTTCCCTAAATTGAACTTTATTTTTGTGAGTTATTTGTTACAGTTCGAGAAGTTTCACTTTATATATTGCCTATGGAAACTTAAGCTTTTTTTAGGCTGTAGACTATAATATCTTAAATCACTCAGAAACCAGCTGAGCTTGGCTCTAGTTAAAAGAAAATACAAAGTCGAAACAGAGAAAGAGAAAGAGTCTATTGAATCTGAGCGCAACTTGTTTTTAGATTGTGGTATCAAAGAAAGAGTATTAAGTGTTGGCTGTTGGCGGTTGACTGTTTTCTGTATTCTGGTGCTTGATAAGATCTGAACGATAAGAAATTAGCAAACAGCTGTTCTCTTTCTGCTCGCACCTGCATTTGGCGACAATTTAATTAGTTTTTCCCATTCACAAGTCGGAAGGCGTTTGGAGAGGGCATTTGAGGTTGCTGCTGTATTGGGTTTTGTGTTTTGTGTATTGTATTGTGCCATTAGCTACCAGTTGATAAATATTTGTTTTCTCGTTTTTATTGGCGAGGAAAAAACAACTTTGTTAATGATTTTTCATACTGCTGCCCGTAGCCAATTTCTACGAATTGTTATTGTTATTGTTAATAATTTGCTGTTAAAATTGTGGCACTCGAATTTATTTACGATTTGCGATTAGATTTTCAAGCGGAGCCATAGATTCATTTTTTTTTGTTTTTATTGCATTTCGATTGGAATTTAGCAAATAGATGAATGTTTTCGCTGCAGTGTGCATTCATTTCTTCAATAAGAGTTACCCACACATACAGATACAATTCGTATCTAGTTCAGCCTGGATCCCAATTGCAATCCTTATTGCAATTACACCCTGCAATTCCGCTGCATTAGATTATGCTCTTAAATAAAGATTAAGAGCGTTGCTGTTAAATGCAGTAGCGCTGAGAGCGCAGCGCGCAGCTGTTAAGAAAAGTATATGAGAGAATAGCGGAGGGCAGCAGCATGTGTTGCTGCTCGAACGCACAGCTGCGTCCGCAATCAAACGAACAAGTGTTGGTGTGCTGTATGGTTGGCTCGCTCTCACCTACTCACAGTTGTTGGGTCGTTGGCACTGCCAACATATTCTGCCTGGCCAGAGCAACGAAAATGAATTTTGCTTGCATTCAGTTTAGCCTCTCAACTCGCTCGGATCGGACGTGTCCAACGCATGAAAACAACAGAAAATAATCATAGTGATATAAAGTGCAAGTCGCGCAAAATAAGCCCAAAACGCGCGTGTGAGAAAATCAAAATTAATTGAGAAGCTAAATTTGTATATATATATGTGTGTGAGTGTGTACAGCCATAAGTGCAGAGCAGAAGCCAAAGTGTAACTGTGCTTTGCTTCGTCTCCCCCACCAACCCAGTCGCCCATATATATATATTTATATACATATATATACGAGTGTGTATGTGTGTGTGTGTGTGAAATTTTTCACATACAAATCCAATGTGAAAATTGAATTGAGAAATTTGTGTTGGAAATGCAAATGAATGAAAACTGAAACAAAACGTAAATCAATTAATTAAACAAACGGCAAACGGTGTCTGTTAAAAGGTAAACTAACAAAATTAAATGCAAAACGTTTACATATTTTTTCTTCTCTGTTGCGTGCCCTTTGCAAATGTATGTGTGTATGTGTGAGCGAGGGTGCGCTTGTATTAGTGAAATTAGTGAACTGCTGTAAAAATAGCCAAAGTAAAGAGCAGGCGGCGGCAACAAAAAAAAACTTTAAAAAATGGACAGCTAGCGAGCCACGCAATGCAAGAGCAGCAAAAGAGTGACAGCTTGCGAGAGTGAGTGTGGGAGAGAGCCATACAACGCACAGAGAGAGCGAGAGATAGTGAGAGAGAAAGAGCGACAGCAACTTGAATCGTCGTTAGTTGAAGAGTTGATTGTGTTTTTTTTTTGCCTTCCTTTTTTTATTTTTTCTTATTGTTGCTGTTGCTGCTTGCGTCGCTATTTGTCTTGATCTTTTGTTTTGAATAGGTTTATTTGTGTTTTTGTTGTTGCCATGCGTACGTGTTTTTATCTGCGCTTCGTCTACTATTTTTGTCGTCACTGTTGTCATCGTCATCAACATCGACTGTTTCTTGTTTTTTTCTTCACCCCAGCTGCTTTTTGTTTTGATATGAGAAATTCATAATCAAGCAGCGAGCGTGTGTCTGTGTTGTGTGTGTGAGTGTCCCTCTCTGTGTTGGCTTGTATAAATTATTAACACATTTTTTTGAGACTTGAAACTTGATTCAACTGATCTGGCCACAAAAAAAACCTCTTGTTAATTATGCGAAATATTTGGCGAAAACACCTCCTAAAAAACAAAAACATTCAAATATATTCAAGTTAATTGTGTGATCATCAATGATTTTTAGATTATTCCAGAGAGTGACTTCAATAATAATAAGGCATGACTAATAAACGTTTTAATTGTTATTTCTTTGCTATTTTTTCACACAATTTCTTATCGCATGCACAACACTCTTCAAGATATGACTTTATGTTTCCCTCAATTGATTTCCGTCGCACAACAAAAGATTTGAATATGCTTAAATATTGAGGCGTTTAAAGTCTGCACTGAATTATTTATAATGAATTACGTACGTGCGTAGATAAAGCCTTCTTTATTGCTGTTAATAAGCTTGTTCAAACTTAATTATATGATAAGATATGACGGGCAATCCATCAAAACATCTTGGGGCGAAATATAAACAAGGAAGATTGCGGGGATTTTCTTAAGAAATGAAATGACAAAAGAAATTATAATTATCTTTTTATCGATTTTAACTCTGTTTAAACCTCGTCTCTTTCTTCGCTTCTTCTTTTATAATCTAAGTTGTTTCCAAGCACGCTCGAAATAATTACTTTTTCCCATTTCTGCCTCTCGCAATTCGCTCATTCACTTGTCACCTTTCTCTGTTATCAGCAGCTTCACACACACACACACACACACGTCGAAAGAAGGCGGGCCTTTTTTTGCGCTGCTTTGAGTTATATGTTTATGTAATGTCCGTGTTCCTATTTATGTGCATATGCACATGCGACTGATACACATACATGCATATGCATATGTGTATGCATGTTCAGACATGTTCATTTTCTTCTGTTGATAACTCAATGTGAGCGAAGGCTTTTGGCCTGTGGGAATGTGTTAAATGAATTTAAATAACATTTGCTTAACAATTCGCAAAATTGTTGTCTGCTCATTGTTGATTCAGCTCAACGCATACGTGTCTTTTCTCCAATGCGACAGCAATACAAAAATATACATTGGAATTTAATATATAAGATCTGTTTTCGATTGGAGTTGAGTTGACAAAAGCAAGCTAAAAATTTCCTTGGCTTATCCGTCTTCTTCTGCGGGAAAAGTTTCAAATGGAATTTCCCTTCCTTTTATCATCGGGTATTTTATAGTTGAGCTCTGACAATCAGCTGTTTTTTGAAGCAGCAGCAGCAGCAGCTGTTGTGACTATATGCAAATAATTTTGTACAAATACACATGCATAAGTTTCTGTGTGTATGTATATTTAGAGGTAGATATATATATGTATATACAAGTATATATGTATGTATATTTGTATTACGGATTGTGTTAATATAAAAACAGACGTCGCTTTTGTTATCGTCGCTCGCATTTTGCGTTCTGTTTGTTTAATACTTCTACGCGTTTATTATTATTATTATTATTGTTATTATTGCTTCGTTTTGATTCCGACTTCAGGTTTTTGCAATTGAATACTAATTAAATATTTAGCCTAGCATTTGTTTCACAGGCTCAACTGACAGCTAGAGGGAGAGAGACAGCTACTGTTGCTGTCTTTTCTGTTGCTGCTCTCTGTTCCGATATCTGCGACACTTTGACCCACTTTTGGGCCATATATACGTGTATATACGTATATGTATATATTCTGTATATACAAACACATATATGCACGCACACAGGCAAATGGAGCATGGGAATTTCATCGTTTGTTTACTTTCATTTTGACTGTGTGAATCCAACATTTGTTTGTGGCCCACTTTCAGTGGGTCTCCGGGGAAGCGAGGGGCGAATGGGCAGACGGGGGGTGGTCAGGTCTAGACTAGCGACTGATAAGGGTAGCCCCATGTTTTAACACTTAGAAAAAATAAGTGGATATCGGGGAAGGCAGTTCTACTGAAAACTTGAAAATACATTTTTAATTTATTTATACGAATTTTTCTTAGATAGATATTTCAAATTGGTTTCTTAACAATGTAAAACGTGCCTATGAAATGTAGAAAGAAATTATATTAGCCTTTTGTAGTAGACATAGTATTGTTATGGGTTCCACCTGATACTTTAGTTTCCAAGTGTAGTCTATCGCATGTTCTGCTCTGACTCAGCGTGATTCGCTATCTCCCTCTCTCGCTCTCCCACTCTCTCATTATCGTTCGCTCGATCGATCGCTCTGTGTCTGTCTCAACTTTCGTCTGCGTCGCAATTGAGGCTTTCCCTGTCGGTGCAAAAGTACAAAGATTTCTATAATCACACACGACAATTAATTCTCAAATACTTAATTAGTTTACCCCACCAATCCCGCCTTCGCGAAGCCTTGAGTATTGTTTTCCGTGTTCCATTCGAGAATTGTTTTGTTTTGACTAGCTTAACAATTGACAATTGACAGTTTCAATTGACGCATTCAGTGAGTGTGCTATTAATACGGCCAAGTTAACGCTAAAAATAAAAGGCGAAAATACAAAAATAACACGTCAAGTGTTACGCACAGAGCACACGGATTTGGTCAGTCAAGAAAACAGTAAATAAATAAATAAAAATAAATAATGAAAACCAAAAAAAAGATAAGCGATGCGCACTGAGTTCAAAACAATACAGCTTTTGGATCACAGTCATCACAGATATGCGAACAATGCGCGATCGTTGACTGCCCCCCAAGTTAATGACACTCTCCGATCTCTGATTACGTTCGTAATATTCGTATTTACTTATCGACTGCGCAGACTTCCCCCCAACAACACAGTTTAGCTGACTGTCTGTCTGACTTGTGGTTCCCCGAAGTAGTTGCAGTTTTTATTTATTTTTCTTTTATTATTTCTAGTTAAGGAAAAACTAGTTTGGTTGGCAGACTTGGGGAAATACAAAACTTAGCATTTAAAACTTCAATTTAAGCCAGAGTTTAAGGCAGTTTTGCTGAGGTACGTAACAGGCAGAATGAAGCAACTACAACAATCCCATTAATTATATATATTAGTGATCAGCATCAAAAGCCGAATCGATTTAGCCAAGTGCGTCTGCTTAGGCTATTCAGCTAGTCTGTCAATAAGTTTATTCTATTCAATAAGTTCCAGGCGAGCTCTCTCGACTTAAGCATTCTCACTGGTTTTAATTGAAAAGTTCTTGAAACTAGCAATGAGAACATCCAAAATAGACTTGAATTTTTATCAGTTTCTAAGGTTTGTAATCAAATGTGTTAAGTTACCAAAAAAAAACATGAAAATCAAGGCAAACAATTTACACCAACTAATTCCCACAGTTTGCATTCAGTTAAGACTGAGATTAAAACGAGTCGCGCCGTCTGGCCGATAGCTGCTGGCTGTTGGCAGTTGGCTTTATTTAAGCCACCGTCTAACGCAACTAGCCATATGTACATATTTGTGCCAGATAGAGATACAAAAATACACACAGCCCGAGATACAGATACAGAAATAAAAGATAAATGCATATTGACTGTGTTTTTTTTTTACAACACAAATGTAAATATGCATTTTTTATGGTGTCTGCTGTTTATTTGCATTTAATATGAGAGAGACTATTAGGAAGGCGAGTGTGTGGGTGTGTTGCCAAGCAGAATGTGCAATTTGTGGATGTGCGCTATCTATTGCAATTTTCTAAACAATAAGTCAATTAACATTTGCACCCGTCCGATTAGTGTTTGTTCTGATTTGTTATTTTAGCTTTAGTTTTAGCTTTAGCTATATTAATATCAATATCAATGACCGATCTGAGTTTGAGTTGCATTCATAATCACACGTTCCACACGCCTGACTGACCACAAAAGCACTCGAATTCAATTTGGGAATACGCTTCACTAAATGCCTATAATATTTCAAAATATATATGTTTTATATATGCACAGATGAGTTTCATGGATCACAGATCGATTTGATTTGTGGGTCGAGTGGATCAGCCAAATAGGTGGTGCGATTACGCCTCAGATGCATGCACCACTGACTTTTGTATTTATACTGCGACAGACCCAATCGAAATTATTGTGTATTGATTGAGTTCAATGACTGATTCGAGTTTTGGATAGAAGTAGAAAGCTGCTTCTGGACGTAAACTTGAGCATTTTCTGTGATTAGTTTACTTATCAGTCAGTCAGATAAAGCACTTTTCTAGCCCCCAGCAACGTCGCAAAAGATAAACAGATATGCAGTGAATCACATTGTGATCTTCTGGCTTATTCGACTTGTGGAAATTGAATACTGTTGTGAAATTCTCAGTTGACATATTTTTGTTTATGTTGCGAAGCTATTGCGTTCTATCTGCCGCTTTTTATTACTTTTTCTCATTAAAAGTTGTCATCTCAGCCACTTCTACAGCTCAACTTGAGTTGCCCATAAAATCCTTATCGATCCATGATCTCCTGAACCCATGCATTGATTAATGTTTGCAATTATCAATATCAATTACGTAATAACAATTTTCAAGGCACACACATAAACAATCAATCAAAATCGGAAACAAGTTTCTATAGATGCAGTTAGTTTTTGCATTGCGTGTTGCGTTTAGGGAAGTAACATTGAACCCACAACGAATGCAAATGCACAATTGTGCATGATTCAGATTAATGCAACAAATTATTGAGAGTTTACTGAGAATCACATGCGATTAATAAGTTGTGAGTTGCATGCTGTTTTCAGAGAATAAAATAAACCTGTTTAAAGCGAACGTTTAGCACACGCTTAACCCAATTATAATGCAATTCTTGTTTTTTATTTCAGACACAACAACAAGCAGATCAAAGGAATATAGAGCAGCAGCAGCAGCAGCAGCAGCAACAGTTGCAACCACAACAACAACAACAATCAAACAAACAACTTGTTAAACTGTTTCGCGTGGCAGGGAATGGTATATTTCTTGGGGGATTGGGGCATGGGAGATTCTGACTTGTCGTCATATCAGCAGCATGTTCCAAATATACAGCAGCAACAACAACAGCGCATCCATGGACAACAACATCAGCAACAACAACAACAACAGCAGCAGCAACAACAGCAGCAGCAGCAACAACAACAGCTGGTTGCACAAATCTCAACTAGTTTAAGCCTATTGCAATCGCAGCTGCAATTTGCCAGCGGCTCCAGCTTTCTTCAACAGCAGCAGCAGCAACAGCAACAGACACAGCAGCAACATGTTGCCGGCAGCAATACCAACAACAGCAGCAGCAGCTTGGTAACCGCCAATCTACAGCAACTGACTGTCAGCAGCAACACGCCCACCAAGCAGCAGTTGCAGCAGATTGTTGTTGTTGACTCCACCACTCATCATCCCTCCCAGCTATCCCCAGCAACACTCAAGTTGCACCCAACGTGGCTGCGACAATGCTCCGAGTCCAATTCGAACTCGAACTCGAATTCGCAATTGACGTCAGATAGCAAAGCAGCAGCGAAGCAGTCGCAATCATCTCAGTCTCAGCAGCTCAGCATCAAGGATCATCTCCTGGACAATGAGGATAATGAGGTCGCCGTTCATCCACTTTCGAATCAGGTAAGGCAACAATGACAACACTGCTCTACTCTCTCTCTAAAACTGTGAAACTAATATATATATATATATATAATATTGTGTGTGATGAATCTCTGTCCTGTCTCTGTCAATTTCTATCGTCGATTCATCGTCTCCGCCTCCTTCAGCAATTGTTGGTGCAGAGAATAGAAATATTCGGCCATGCCCTCCAATGAATGCTTCAATATGAATGTCTTAACGATTGCCCATGTCGATTTGACAAAATTGATATCGCCAACAACGAGAATATCTGTGGTATTCCCCGGCGAACGCTTCAGGCAATAGTGCATCAGTATGGTAAAGACATCGGCATAGGGTATACCCTGATTGAGGCTCTCCACATCTATCGAATAGATTTCACCTTTGGCACTGCACTGTCGGATCGTTTGACGCTCAACGATCCGGGCACTTTTGGGTCCCACATTCGCTTGGAGGGCAACAATCATGCTGACCTGTCGCTCCTGTTGCCCGGCCACATTGCAATTCCATTTACCAAAACACAGATCTGTCGAACTGCGACCCGCATGGAATTTTCGTAGAAATGTGGAGCCAGCGGGCGAGAATAGCAGCTCGAATAGTGCATCCACATCGAACCGTAGGTTTGTCTTGATGAAAATGCGACCATCGTGTTGGCCATCGCATTGGTGGCTGGTGCCCACCGCGAGATCCCTTATCATTTCCACTTGATTGGTCTGCGGTGCTTGGGTAGCCTTCATGCTCTTCTTTCGCTGCTGACTCACCAAGTGGGTAGTTCCTCTGGTTGTCTTTCGCTTTCCATATGTGATCGCCTGTTGCGTTTGTCTCGTACGCGATCGTCGCGTTGGTATTGTTGATCTCTCCGGATTATTGAAGTCTATGGATTCGGGTCGCATTTCTCCAGTGAAATGCAGCGATATCATAGATGCATAATTCGAATCACTCTCATTTAACTTGCGGGGCTTCATTACAACAAGAATCGTATTTATTATTATGAACGTCACAGGTCTAAAAGTAAACCTAATAAATTTTCTTAAGTTCGTTAAAAAAAAAGAAGAAAAAACAATACTAAGATGATTACGTGTGAGTTCCAATAGCGTATAAAATATTCCACTTATTGCAATACAAAGGAATACATATTCACATAAAGTGTGACAATTTCAATTTCAAGTCATGATGCCCGTCAATTCCAATGTGAGTTCTTTTGCCAGAATTTTGACTTATAAAACCTGGTTGAATTTTGATATGTGATATATTTGTGAGTTCATCAAGTGGTTCTGGTTGCCTTCATTATTATTATCCGATCATATGAATCAGCTCAAGTTTTGTTTACATAAACCTGCCGAAGACAGGTCGTATTTGATAAGCTCATATCCAATTTGAAATGCGCCTCTACTGGCAACTCAAAGCTCCTAAAGATTACAGACTACAATCGACAAGGACAGATTAAAGTGGAATGTATAACAGCAGTCTCGTTATCAAAACGTCGCATGACGTAGGATTGATAAGATAATGGTTGGTTAGTTAGTATGGCCACGCGACCAGCGAGTCTTAAGTTCGATTCGTGTACCCTTATAGAGGCCATTTCTATATTGTTCCCAAGTTTGTGACAAAGAAAAAACTCTTTATAGCAGATGTGGAGAAGATATGCAAATTCAAGCAATTAGTTTTCGACAAGGCGTCAAACTGGATTCGAAATGCAATTAGTTTTTTAGGAGCCAGTTACAGGAACGAGATATACAATAAATACTATACCATAATGGAACTGAATACCGAAAACAAATTTAAACCACTTCATAAACTTTACGGATAACCTTTACCATTTATGTACTGGGACCGGAACTTTAATCAATAAGTTTTCAGAGCAACTTAAACTCGACTCTTTCTCCACTTCGAAACATCTCCCTCTCGTCGACTTAACCCACTTTACGCGACTCCTCTCCTCTCCTCTCTCTATCTCTCTCTCTCACCTATTATCGTCTTAATGAACTTTTACTCATTGCTCTTTGCCTCTCCATGTTGCAGGTTGGAGGACATACGCGCCTGTTGCTGCTCAACCAGTCGACGGTGATCAAGCCACTGAACTTGCGTGAATTGGACTTCTATCAGAACATTCCGCAGGACGTACAGAAGTTTGTGCCCAAGTACAAAGGTAAGATACCGACTATATTCTATTCCAATTAACCAATCAGCCACAACGATTCTCGTTCCTATCGAAGCGCTTCATCTGATATACATATACATTTATATATATATATATCTTTCGTTTCGAATTAACTGCTCGTTCAATTTATCATACATTTAAAAAAAATTGAAAAAATAAAGAATATATTACAAAAAAGAAAAGCAAAAAAAAAGAATGAAAAAACATGATGTGATAAAACCATTTCTTGTCTTGAGTTTTTGAAATCGCTGTTTGCGCTGCTGTATTTTCAACTTTTGTTTTGTACTAACTCGCATTTGTCCAAAATCAACAATTATGCGCTCCACTGTACTCTGTCCGTATATCATTTTTATTTTAAGTATTATATATGCCTATATATATGTGATATATCTATAGTCTGTAAGTCTTGATATTGAATGAAAACAAATAAAAACAGAGCACAAAAAAAAACTAAAAAAAAAAGAAAGCAAAAAAGAAAAGTGGTGCAAAAAACAATGAATATCAATAAAGACTGAAAACTATAACGTAATCTAATAGGTAAACTATAGCTTTAACAATTTGTAAAATACGAAAAGCGAAATAAATATATTATAGACGCCATGCCCAATTATTGTCTGCTCCAAAAGCTTCAAACTACTATATATATATTTTATCACATAAGAACTTTTAGTTAGTAGCGAACTGACAACAATGGGTAAGTCGCAGAAACACACAACAATAAAACAAAAAAAAACAAAAAATAATTAAAACTATAAAGAAATTTTACAAAAATATGCAACTTCTCTCTAGCAAAAGATTTTTACAAGTATGCAATATATATTATATACACATGTACAAATCTTCAAATCGAAAACGTTTTGTTGTAAAATTTTTCGGTCTAGCTGCCAAAAAATTTTACAATTTTTTTTTAAATGACAATTTTAACTTGTTGAACTATAAAAAATGCGCACGCCCTTGGGCACAGGTGAAATTAATAATAAAAAAAAAGAAGAAAATATAAAACCTGAAGCTCTGGGGGCGTGCCACTTCTGCCACTACATATCTACGCTCTATGCTCGTATTATCCAAAGGTTCGAAGTGTGTGCCGACTGACAGACCCGCTCCTGTGTGTGTGTGTGTGATCTGCTGTGAACCGCTGAACCAAACCGAACCGAACCAAACACTGAACCAATTGCGGAGAGCAGCCTCGAAACTTGAAACCACTGAAACTGAAACTGAAATACAGCGTAAAATACTATTACTAAAAGAACAAAAATTACCAAAATCAATATGCAATTTTTTACTCCAATTTTTTGTTTTTGTTTCGCCACACAAGAGAAAAACAAACAACGAAAAATCGTGTATGTTTGTTTTTGTTTTTATTGTTTCTGTTGTTTTTTTTTTTTATTATTCTTGTGTTTTATATATGTGTTTGTTCAGAATGCACATCGGTGCTGCCCCTCTCGTTGTCTCGTTTGTTGTGTCTTGTCGCCGTCGTCCCTAGGCCTTGCCGATCTCTAATCGGATCTCTGATCGATATGGCTGCTCTGCTCTCAGATCTGTCTCTCAGCTCAGCTCAGCACTCTCTCTCTGCTCGCTCTGCTCAGCTCTGCTCATTGTCTGTCTCTGGAACTGAAACGTCTCCGAGACTCTCAAAGTACGAAAGCCGATTAGAAATGCAAGCAAGCCAATAATGACACAATGGCCATTGACGGGTTTGTATGATTAAAACACATACTACTTTATATATATTTTACTATATCTACCAATTACTATATAATATAATAAGCTATTCAGTTCCTTAAATAAGTACAAATATATTAATATATACATAAATTTTGATCGTTTTAAGCTAAGTAAGCGTAGGTTTACCAAAAACCAACAAGAAAAATAATCTTTCGCTACTCTTCTAAAAGTAAACTTGAATTTTTTTTTGCACATGTTTAACTCTTGATTAAGTCTCTCTCTCACTCTTTCTGTCTTTCTTAAATTGCACACAGTTGAGAATTCCGCTTAGGCCTTATAAATCGAATAAATCATAAGTCATATAAGTCATAAGTCACTATATGTATTATCATATGCTGCTTTTGTGTGCGTGTCCATCCGAAATGCATGAAAGTTTCATTGGGGTGATTGCTGCAGTCCATCAGAAACATGAATAGATGTGAATTATATGTGTGTCCTTCAATTTATACTTATTGTTGGGGGGAGAAAATGGGTTTGTCTGTGTGCCAACGAATCAATCAATCATGGATGCTTCCTTATGTCTAATCAGATCCATCAAGAACTTAACCTCAAGATACTTACATACAAATTAAAGTTAATGCTGCAAACGAAGAAGCAACAACAAACAATTTTAGACTTATCGCTCGCCGGTCCCGTTCTATTTCCAGGCGTTATGCAAGCAACATCCATGGGCGGCGTCAAGCTGGACAAACGCTATTCGCCCAGTTTTCGGGACGATGCCGCCGCGGTGCCCGTGCGCAAGATGAGCGCCTCGAAGCGGAAGCGCGATGATGTACTCAGGTATGTAGCAAGCCAATGGCGCCACCATTTCGACATACTAGCTCTTGCACCACCACCACACTCAGAAAAAAAACACCATCTGAATTTTAGAAAATCACCCTGAAATAATTTCTGCAAATGGAAAGAAAAGTCTCTTAAAATTAAATCTACAACCCCAAAAATCTGATGTCTTCTTTTTATATTTCTCAAAAATATATTTATTTAATTATCGAAAGTAGAAACTCATTGCAGAGTTTAGCTCTTTTAACTAACTAACTCAGTGGGAAGTAAAATTATAAAATATATAAAGTGTTTTTTGCTATATGTGACTGATTTATAATAAAATATCATAATTATCTTATGTACACACACACACATAGAAAACCACAGTCTTCAACAGTCACAACATTCGATATTAAAAATGATCATTCTGAAGAATCCTTCTAAAATTCAATGGCATTTTTTTCTGAGTGCACCAACACACCCAATCAACCACCACCACCAACACCTATTTGCCAAACACTGACGCATACACATATACATTTATATATATAGATACATCCAAATATTTGTATATAGTTGTATATGTTGTAAAAAAAAAAGAATACCACACATGACTGATGCTTTTCAGCCAAGCAAATGGAAATGAATTTTATTTTTGTTTTAGATTGTGCAATGCATACAAAAAACAAACACGCACTCGCCCCTCTCAGACATTGTTGTTACGGGTATCTTTGGGTATGCAAATTACAATCATATAGTACTATGTGTATGAGTATTTGTTATTGTTTGTTTATTTTCAAGCTGACGACATCATCATCTCATCCTGTTCCATTGCAAGACTCAGTAAAGTACAATTTTGATTTGTCAATGGAACAGCGCATGATGTGTTTGTTCTCGTTGCTTTTCTGATTATAAACGAAAAACTTGCAGTTTATTTTGTTTTAGGTCAATCCACTCTCATTTTGTGCCATCTAAAATGGGGTTTGAAATACTTCGCTTCTCTCGCTTGATTCCATCATAATTAATCTCAAACATCTCGCCTGGATTATTTGCAGAATGAAGGTGCATAAGAACGGAAATGCGGCCGATGTTATCAAGAGCATTTCGCAACTTGACAACTCCAATAAGCAATGTTAGTATCCCCTGTGTTCCCCTCGGCCTGGACTGAAAAAACCCGCCCCCCTTTCCAAAAATGAATTACAACATTTACAATTGAGTTCGCCTGCAACTATTTTAACTAATCTCTTTTTGGCATCTTTCGTTTCACAGATTTCTTGATGCTCGAGAATATCACGTCACAGTTTCGCAATCCCTGCATTCTCGACCTGAAGATGGGCACCCGTCAGCATGGCGACGATGCTTCCGCCGAGAAGCGCTCCAAACAGATGGCCAAATGCGCTGCCAGCACTTCGGGCTCCCTGGGAGTGCGTCTCTGCGGCATGCAAACGTATCAGGCGGATCTGGAGCAATATGCCAAGCGGGACAAGTACTGGGGCCGCGAACTAAACGAGACGGGCTTCAAGACCGCTCTCCATGACTTCTTCTATAATGGTTTCCGTTTGCGCACCCGCGTCATACGCAAGATCCTCCAGCGTTTGCTGCAACTACGACGCGTCATCGAGAAGCAGTCCAGCTACAGATTTTACTCCTGGTAAGCTTTCCTGGTTATTATATTTTATGAGCACGTTATTAAATATTCGGTTCCAGCTCCTTGCTCATTGTGTATGAGGGCTACGAGGAGAATCCGATGGCCCATCCGCGCTTCATGATATCGGATGATTGGCTGGAGGCACCAAAATCCGCCACAGTGCAGTCGACGACAACAGCCGCCTTTGATTATCATCCGGAGAACAGCATAGACGAGGATGACATCGAGGACGATGAGGCGGGACACGAGGCGGGAGATGAGCTCGAGCCGCATGATACCGACGAAGATTTGCAACTGATGGCAGCCGTTGACAGCGGCAACGCCTCGGCCACAAACAGCAGCAATGGCGCCGATGGCTGCAACTATGATGCGGATGCCTCGAATGACTCCAATTCGCGTTTAAATCTCGCCACACGTCGCCATCTGCATAAGCGTGGCTTTGCGGAGGCTGCGGCACGTGGCGTCAAACAGACCGCATCTAGTTCCACAACCACCACAGATGAGGAGGAAGAAGACGACGAGGAGGAGGATGAGGAGACGGAGGCGGAGCAGTGTCGTGAATCTGTTATGCCGCCGCCGCGTACCTGCGGAGTATTGCCCAACACCACCAAATCATCAGCAGCAGCATCATCATCTGCTGGAATTGGTAGTGGCAAGAACAACAAGAGCGGTGCCAATGGCAGCGCCACACCTGCATTCATTCCAATTTCCGAAGAGACAGTATTTCTGGATCCAGAGCCAACGTTGCCCAGCGTGACAACCTCATCGCCACATTCCGGTGACTCCTGGATGAACTACAGCAGCAACAGCAGCGACGATTTCTCTGGCCTCTCGGAGCAAATCAAAGCGGTGGCCAGCGGTCGTCAGACATGTAAGTCTAAGGCGCATGATCCCTTAATCCTAATCCACTCTCTAATCACACATTTACTCTGTAAACAGGCAACAATAGCTCCGACGATGGCAGCTCCGATTACGAGAGCAGCATCATCGGACCCACAGAGGCCATGTTCAAGCGCTACAAATCACAGCAATCTTTCGATGCGCAAGCTGGTGGATTGGTAATGGAGCCCAGCACGCCATCATCGCATACCGGCAACAACTCGAGTGCCACATTGAAGTCCATTGTGGTGTCGCCAGCCTCATCGAGCGCTTCATCCCTGAAGTCCGTCAAGGGGGCTGTAAAGCGTTTGCGCTGCAAGGACGATGATGAACATTATGCGGCACACGATGATGATCCACGCGAGGCTAAGAAATCCACCATAACATCCACACCTGTATCTGCCGTCTCCTCGCCAGCCAAGTTGCAGCGCAGCAAAGTGTCCGCCGCAGTGCAACGCAGCTGCGAGAATATTTCCAATTCGCTGCTAGCTGGCATCCTATTGGACTCACTGGAGCGACGTGCCAGTGCCGAGGCGGCAGACAATAACAAATGTGTCAACCAAGATGCCAAGACTCCAATTGCTGCAACTGCTCGCAACTCGGCGCTGTTGCATGGCTCCAAGTCGCTGGATATGTCCGCGCCGCCCACAGATGACTCGGCCTGTTTTGTGGATGTGCGTCTCATTGATTTTGCACACACTGCGTTTGTGCCGCGCAACGGCAGCATGTTGCCAACGCCGGCGGCAGCTGCCCCCGTGCACCATGGACCCGATGGCGGTTTTCTCACTGGCCTCGATAGCCTTAATCGCCTGCTCAACGAGATTCTCGCCGAGGAGAGCATCTAAGCAGCGTCTCGGTTCGGTTATTAAGTTAAAAGCAAAAACAAAAACAAAAAAAAGTACAATTTGATTTCGGAATACCTAAATTGTTGTAGCAACATGTGTTAAATTATTAAAACTAATCTTTAGAAATTCGAAATGTGATTCAGCAAAACAGAAAGAAAACAAACAAAAAAACAAATAACACAAAAAAAGCAACAATATTTAAACAGATAAACCAACAAAAAAAAAAGAAAAACAAAATATGATGGATATATAAAGGCAACACTTTTAAAAAGAAACACAGCAAACTAAAACCTTTGTAGAGCTGACAATTTTTCTTAATTGATTTAGAGACATTTCCAAAAACAAAACAAACAAAAATGGAAAAATTGTGAACTTTGCTTCTTCCAAAACGTAGTTACAAGTTACAAAAATTGAATTGAATTGAGATATTGATATATTGTTCAAGCTTCTGCATTTCCAAGCGCTGAAACAAATTCGAACTTTGTGAGAAATGTGTTACGAATATATTAAAAATGAAAAACAAAAACAACTATATACTATATAAATGTATATGTATATGTATTGTATTTTAAAACGATTAACTGGCATGCGAGTCATGCGTTTTTATACCTAGCTATATTATTACAATACATACAAATGCAAATGACAAAGCATCAAAGCGTAAGAAACAGTATTTTGTTATAATTATTTGTTCTTATTTTGCTTTAAATCATCGTTTCCTTTCTAATTGTAGCAATCGCAGTTCAATCTGTGTGTAAAACTGTGAGAAGAGAGCAAGCAAGAAAACGCTATTAACATAAATCCTAACAACATATAATTGTATATTACTATTACTTATTGTATAACTAGAAAATTAAATGGATACAAAAAACAGAAAAACAAAATACAAAAAACAAACAGAAACAGAAATAAACAATGTATATTTTCACTTAAGCACGTTTAAAAATTACAAATGTTCTACTGATTGCAAAATAAATCTAAAGTATCAATAAATATGACAACAAAATACAAATGAGTTGTGTCGTTTCCTAATATTTGAATAACTTTTGTTTTCTCGCACCTAATATTTAAAAAACTAATTAATTTGGTAGCGCTGCCACCCTGTTAACAGTCGTATGTAAACAAACCACCTTGCATTTTGGCATTTTTAGTACATTTTATGCCGATATATTATCGATAGCGCTTAACATTTATGTTCACATTTCTGTTATTGTGGCAAGAAGAGTTTGTATTTCCATTAATTTTGTAATACTTTGTGATTTTCCTGTTGTTTACGAGATATTTTGTAATAATTCAAGCAAATACTATTGTTACTAAGTGATTGTTGTTGTGCTGATGACATGTGACCTAAACAACAGTCAAAAGAGCTGAAAGCAAAAAACCAAAATTCACTTATGTAATTCATTAAAATAAAACAAGCAAAACTTATATCGTTTCAGCGGAAGTGCAATTAAATAAATAATGGGTGGACATCACGGCGAACCCTACACAGTGCCACATCCATCGGTCTACAAGGTGGAGAATGTGCCCCAATTGCTTGAGGTGAAGGAGGCACTCGGTCGCCAGGGCCTCAGTGATCCATGGCTGAGGTAAGCAAGGATGAACTAAACAATCGCTAAAGCTATCGATAAATGTTAATGGTAATCTTGCTGCTGCTGCTAGGAACGAGGCCTGGCGCTATGAGCCGAATGCATTTGGCACACACGCCTCCCGCCTGCGGACGTTCATGTTCCGCGGCCTGGGCATTGGATTCTCTCTGTTTCTGGTCACCATTGGAGCCGAGTATGCGCTCGGCATTGGCAAGGGCCAGGGTGACCATGGTCATGGGCATGGACACGATGACAAGAAGGAGCATTAAGCGTTAAGTGATTTTAGTTGAATAAAAATAAAAATGAAATTGCGCTTCGATAAATTTAGTGATACGATTTATGTATATTGATGCTCTTGATATATTGATATTGTTAATCGCAGAACATGTTGTGGCCAAAGCCAAAGCACGCCTCCGATCAATTGACGCGCGGTTTCAGTTCATCGTAGCAGGAGCGCAGGAAGATCTGTGGCTTTTTGGCGGGATTGAAGTATTCGTGGCCCTTGGACCAATCGTAGCCGACGGCATACGCGAATATCTGACCATTGGCATTGAAGCCGCATTTTGTAATTGATTGATCCATGGCTTCGCTAGATTTGAGCTTGGTGCGTGCATCCTTGTCCCAGAAACTGAAGGTGCCGTCCGAGCCAACGGTGACCAGCGTGCCATGAATGGGATGGAATGCAATATCGTTGACCGCATAAATGTCCTGGAAACCCGAACTGCCCGTCGAACGATGGCACTTGAATGTGAAGTTATCCTTGGGATTCACTGGATTCACATACTGTATGGCCACCCGTCCCTCGATGCTGCCCAGCGCATAACCCGTGGGCGTCTTCTTCTTATCCTTGAAGATGGCAATGGCGCGATGCTGATATTTCAACGGGCTCTCCTGTCGCTTGTACTCGGTGGGACTGTTCTCCAGCGAGTAGATGATTAGGCCACGACCCGCTGTGCCCACCACGGCCATGGGATAGTCCACATCGGCGCAATAGCAACGCTCGGGCAGATTAATGGCCATCATGGGTGTGGGAGTGCGTGTGTCCCAGAACTAAGGAGAATACACAATTGAATACGGAATAAATATTGAAATATTTTATTGGCATACCTTGAGCGTTTTGTCCCAGGAGCCGGTCATGAGGCACGTGTAATTTGGTCCCTTAACCATGTGACAACTTTTGACTGGCCCATCGTGGGCGGCCACTTGCATTACTTGATCGGAGGCGAGATCCCACAGTTTGACCTGTTTGTCACAGGAGGCCATAAAGACTTTGGTGCCATCGTCCGACCAGCATACGTCCAGCACTGGGCCACCCATCGACTTCATCGATTTGGGCACCGTGGCTCCATTTTGTTCAACTTCCCAGCAGCGGACGCTGTTATCCCAGCTGCCGGCAATTAAATAATTCTTGGGTAGTGTGCTCGGACTGAATTCGAGCGCGGAGACGGAGTCGTCGGGCGGCGAGGCCACCTCGAAGTCGTTCATACGATTCGTTGTGGTTTGTGCGGGCCCAAACATGATTTTGTTTTTGAAATGTCGCAAAATGTTTGTATATTCGATCGACGTCGGAGCGTCAAAAGTAATTCAACCACATTACATTTAACATACGTTTAACAGAGCACGCAACGCAAGAAGAGCACGCAACGCAAGAAGAGCACCGCAACGCATTTAAGAGCTTACAGAGAACGCACAATGTGCCGGTAATGTTAACACCAGTAGTTTCTACTCCACACAAAAAAACAACAACAAAAAACTGTAATTCACAGTGACAACAGTTAATGATGTTAAATAAAGCCGGTAAATTGCGTCTGATAACAAAATTTATAACTGAAACTGTTAATTATTAAGTTGCAGCTCTATTTTGTTAAATAACAAAACGATTTTCGTCAATGTGACAGGTAAGTGGCGCTTACATACACACATACAACATGCAAATGCATAAGCGTAGCTTGCACTCACAAACATACATTTGCATACATAATTAACAAGAGCTCGAGTTAACAGTTATTTACATACATATGTACATAGAAATGTACTTGGCTTGAACTACTTGATTTGAAATATCCGCATTGAGTTGTCAAATTTAAACTCGCAGATACAAATCATTTATTCTTATCTTTAGATTGATTTTGAAACAGACGTGTGATTCGTTAATTGTTGTTAGTTCATCTGCCTACTCGAAAATAAAATCCCCGAAAATTTAAATTGATGACGAGCGTCACATTTTTTTTTTTTGTTTTATTTAATTTTTGTCGCTTTCAACCAAAATACAAGGGCGCGATGCGTTAAACCTGAATTGCGATCGTTACGGTTTATTTAATCAGTAGGCAGCAATAACAGTTTACATAGTCTCCGAGGTACTTTTTATTTTGAAAAGTGTTTTTTTTCTGTTTTTTTTTTGCTATTGAAAATATGGGTCATGTCGAAGACTTGTAAATTGTGAGCAATAAGCCTTCTAAGAAAGCTAAAAAGCACATTTCAAGCCGAGGGTCATTTCAAATTGAATACTGGCGGTATGCGGTTATTTACCTGCAACTTAACACAAGGGAATCCCCTTTTAACCTCTCTATAGAGAGAGATTGACAAAGCATTAATTCCAATAGCCGTTTTATTAAATAAGACGATGTTGAATGTTTGTTTAATTTGTTGTATTTTGAATATATTCAATTGCAGACATCATTCATGGAATGATGTGCTCTTGAAACCACAGACAGTACATATTTGGTGTTGTTCATTGTGGATTTGTGACTTGACTATACACATATATATATATATATATATATATGGACATACATAATTTCCTAATAAATATATTACTAATATGATGAGCTAATTATGGGCGTGTTAATACTTTTCAATGCCTGAATGACAATCATATATCAGTCGGAAAGTTTTGCTATATGCTAATGACTATATATATATAACAATAGGAACCATTCGTACTGGATGTAATTCTTACAGGCAAGTTAGACAGACAGAGAGAGCTCCTTAAATGCTTACATTTATCGCATTCTTAATCACAATATTTCCACCGATGCCATTCACAATTGTCAGATTATTGTCAATCTCAACGCCCAAACTTTGACTGCTTTCCTTATGCTTTGGCTCCTTTGGTGAAGATCGTCGCTTGCTGTTGGTTTTGTTGGACTGCAATTCCAGTGATTTGACCACCTTAAGGAGTCCATTGCAGCCAATATAGTCGACATTCTGCTGTTGCGAATCGATGCCCAAATAGATCCTGCCATCGTTGCCCATATACTTGATGGTCCCGCTGTTGTGCTGTATCTTAAGACGCGTTGAGTTGCCAATGATTTGCAGATTGCCCGTGTTGTTGACGATCCTCAACCGATTGCCATTGCCAATGATGCGCAGATCTCTCGCATTGTGCTCAATGCGATACTCCTTGCAGTTACCAACCAGATCCTTGCTGCCAAACTGCACGTTATTCGACTCCTCCTCCGACGAACGTTTAGCATTTGTTGTTTTACTCTTGTTGTGATTCGTTTTGCAGGCCGAACACTCCTCATCGTCATACGATGAATCGCTCGCCGAATCAGCTTCAATGACTCGTACGCCCATTATTATTTAAAATCTTTCCACTGCTCAGAAAAATCACCAATTGCCAAATTTGATGTTCCGTTTTAGTCACCAAATTCGCGTATCTCAGCTCAGAGATTATTAGATTTAACTGCTTTTTGCTACATCTATCTATGCATATCCGAAATTTATCTATTGTTGTTGCTGCCGAAATAGTTAATGGCTGACGTATCGCTCGACTCTCGAATGGGGAACACCCCTGTAGCAGTGCTTTTTTTGTATTTTAGTGGTTTTTGTATTTCTCTTTGTTGATATGCTTTGCGCTGCTTGTTAATTGGCCGCCTGTTTGTTATTCTCTGGCCGCTGGTTGGCAACGCTTTGAACGATATTGCCTCTGGGAGGCGGCTTTTATACCCCGCCAGCAACGTCCGGACGGGGCTTTTTTTTATTTTGCGATTGGGGTGACAATCCTAGTTCTCTTCGCTCACTCTCACTAACCAACAACTCAGAAATCGAAGTGGTTATCTTGTTTGCTTGGTTGCCAGTGCTGCCAGGGAAGACCAATTGATAAGAGGTCGCCAGCCATGAATAATGTCAGCAGCTGTTGTTGGCAACTGCAGATGCATTAAATGTGTTTAATTAAAGACATGAGTATCCATATAATGCTACACACTCATCTAAAGGTATTTTTGTTGGGGGCTTGTTATCTATCAGTCATGGTGAATCTAATGGGTATTTTTCTTTCAACTTTCTTATCGGTGTTAAGCACCCATATTTTGATATTGATTTGTAGATTTCGGTATCGGTAAAATTTACCATTGCGATTTGAATTATCTTATATATATATATATATATATGCAGGCACGACCTTGGTAAATTGTTAACAAACTTTAGTAATATTCAGCATACTTGCGAGAGAGTTTTTGTAATTTATTTCATAAGCAGATCACCTTTCATTAGTTGCCCGGCACTTGCTGTTTTCGCAAATAACTGCCGAGTGTTTCCTTCTCGAATAAACCAGTTTGTTTATAAACAACAATATTTGCACATGAGTACAATTCCCCCTGCATTCCCACATCCGCTTCTCCTGCTCTCTCTCGCTTCACAATCTCAATTCTGCACTCTTCGGAAGCTTTCAATATCAGTTCTCTCTGTTCTCTGGAGCAACCACAGAGATTGATTCTCACTCGTATTATACGTGTTTAAATTGTGCGATCCCAAAGTTGCTTTCGTTTTCGGACTCGGATATTGTGTAAACATTGTTTTTATGTGTAAATATACATTTTTCAGTATATTTACTTTTGCATTTTGGGTAAAGCACCTAACAGATAGAGGCCATGTACCATTGTCTTTGAAACATAAACATTACTTTAAGCGCAATCATTTTTGTTTACTCCTATTTTACAGTGCACCTGCTGCTTTTACTTAGTTCCAAGTTGTTGACATGTTCATAATCTTTGATTCAATATTATTAAATTATTTGTTTATCTGTTCGGTAATTATTTACTGTTACTTGGGGACTTTTTCCTATAGTTGTTGCTATCGACAAAAAACAAAAAATCAAATAACACAAAAAAATATAACCAAAGTCGACAATCAAAATTATCTCGCTTATATTACATGCTAAGCCAGCTAATTGCACAATTTTCTAAACTATCTGTATTTGTTGCTGTACACGTGTTGCACACAAATCATATATACATTGACATATAAGCAATGGGCATATCTGCCGATTCGTTAACCACTACTCTCTACATCAATTATCTAATTGACTAACTAATGTAATCAGTACCAAAGAATGACTGAAAAACCCCCTCTAAGGAAGAGCACCTGCAAGACTATTAAATTTTTAATACTATTACCTCGAACCCATTAAAAATGAGCAAATAGGGTATATTGATTTTCTGCAAATGTATGTAACTGTCAGAAGGAAGCACCTCTGACCCCATTAGGTATTTATATTCTTCATCAGGATCAAAACTAGAGGCTTCCATTTTAGAATATAGGTCCTAGTTAAACTTATTCTTATTCTTATTAATCTCCTTAATAAATAGTTTTTATCAGTATCTAAGGTAATTTTGGCTATAAAGGTAGAATATATTTAATAGCTGAGTTCAAGGTATAAAGTAGTTGAGCTCACTCGGCAAAGTAATAAAAAAGCACCACTTAACAACAGGTTTCATCAGCCTTCTATCAAATATTGTCATTGTTTTTCCTTTGTTGTGTTTAGCAGAAGATACCCAGTTGGGTTTGGCTATAAAGCTACCACAAAAAAAAAGCAGCAAAGTTAACCCAAAAATAAAATAAAATATTCAAGATAACCGATAATCAGCTCGTGAAATTTGCAGACCGCAATAAAAATGGATCGCTTTAGTGATGGTTGCGTTTAGCAAGCTATTTCAGTCCATCCTTATGCAATGTGGGAATATTTAGCTAGTTTACTAAGATATGGAAATCCTTGCATATAAAACAATTATTTAGTTTTTCATCGGCGGCAAATTGATTTTTATTCGAGAGGCTTATCAACCTTTTACAATATATATTCTGAACTGGTGCATATCATCGCTATTTTGTTAATATATGTATATATATATATATACGAGTATATATATATACATGTATATATATATGTACGGTGGCAAATTAACAACACACACGCATGACTAACAAAAAGCGAGTGTTTATAATTTCTCGCACGTAACTGATAGCAATTATTATATTTGAAGATAGGATGTAATAAAATGCCAACAAAATGCATGGAGTACTAAATAAAAAACAAAGAAGCGATAATTGATAGAAAAAATATATATTTATTGCTTTATTTTTGATCAACAACCTATGAACTTTAACAATTATACGCTTTACAATCGATGTCTTTGCTTAGCTTAAAAAAAGTGTATATTTGATTTATTAATCGAACCTATGTATTCGAGAATATATGACAAACATGATATGTGACAAGAGTATCAAAGTTAGGAGTATACATTTTGCACTATTTATATTTAAGATGCATGTCTAAATATAATTACATTTAAAGTGGTTTTTTGCTGCTATACTGAGATTAAATTATACATTTCATGCAGTTAATAAAAGTATAATATTTGATTTGCACTCACAAGTATTTTGTATGTTTCTGTTTCGAGTATGATTGCGATAGGGAACAACTTGAGTTCTTAATTCAGACACATGAGATATGTATGCAATGGAAGATATGGTTTGCTTGACTGCTTTAGAAGGAGTCGTGAATTCCATTTTTAGTTTTACCACTGGAAACGTTCAAGCTGGGCATTAAACAGCTACAAAAGAAGCGGAGAAAAGAGGCAAATGAATGGTGGCATGATAGGTCATAATTGAGATAACAATAGCAAGCACACTAACATTTGATGACACTGTGCTTGCCGAACCGTGCGTCATCTCGTGCAGCTCCTCGTCCGTGTAGGTCAGATTGTGTGCCTCGATTTTATAGTTAAAGGTGGCCGACACAGGCTTGTGGTCGGATAGAGTGTAGTCCATGTTCGATTGATACGACAACTGCTGAGCACTCAGCGTAATTGAGGGATAACTGTTGATCTGCACGCGATGCAGGATGCGGTCACACCAGGCCGGACGTCGCTTCAGGTCGTATTCGTTGGTGCCCTCGATGAACTTGAAAGTGGGCGCAAAATTGGGCCGCTGCTCATCCAACAAACTAAACGCATTGCCCGTTTCGCGCAACAGTATCAACTGGTCCAGCTTGAGCAGCTCCTCGTATCGGGCATGATCCACCGCACCGCGCACATCCCAGGCGGACATGTCGCCGGACAAACGGAAGTTCAAATCACCAAACCAGAATACAAAATCATGATCGAAAATGCGTCGATAGCCATCCACGTGATACTTGTGATTGTCGACTATCTGATGATAGTCCTCGATGCGTTCCTTTAGCTTATCATCATGGGCCGCCAGATGGGCACACACAAACACTGCGCCCGTACCATACAGACTCAGACGAATGCTAACCGCACCCTTGTTGCCCCATAGGCCGCCTAGTCCGGTGCGTGTCTCCTCCGCCTCGATGTCCTTCATGTGCGGTATATGCTTGGGTTTGGTAAACATCGTAATGAGGATACCCTGCAGTTGCTTCGATTGGACTTTCACATACTCGTGATCACTCAACTCACTGGCGAACTTCAACACCCAGGGATCTTCCTGAAAGATGTTGAACACCTGTTTCGTGTTCACCTCTTGCATGCCAATCACATAGATGTCTGGCAGCCCATTGCCCGGACAATTGGTCGTTCCATTTAGAGCCAGTAAGGATGTCAATGACACACCCTTCGGTGTGTGCGTGCCCACATTCCAGGTTAGCAGATATATGCAGAGATCGGCAATCACAGATGTTGTCGCTGTCATTTTATCGCTGCTGCGGCTGCTCTCTCGAATTATCTGTGATAAATGACAACACTGGTTAAGCAACTAAATACGTCAGAGACAAGGTGGTTGATGAGTTCATCTAATCTCCGAAATATATATATATTTTATATATACATATATATTTCTATGCACATATGAATATCCAGTGCAACTGGAATATTTTTTGTTTTGCCGCTTACCTTTATTCTCCTCCTTATTGGATTAGCGAACTATGTGTTTTGTAATTATTTTTAAGCGCATCCACATTTGGCCTCCAGTGCTGTTTACGTTGCTGGTCACGGCTGCTGTTGCTTCTACTGATGTTGTTGAATATCTCACACAACACGCATACTGACACACATGGGTCATTTAATGCGCAGCGTTGCCAGGCCATGCATTTTTAACATTTTCAAAAATTTCCACTACAAACTGTTAACAAATATGTTCGAACGCTAAATGCAACTAAAAAACAATATAAATACCTGTCAAGAAATGATATTTGGTTTTATCTAATTAACTATCTAAAGTTAGTTACTTAAAATTAAAAAATAACAGCTGACTGTAGTGTTGCAAAGTGAATTCACTACGAATGTCTGGCAACACTAGTCGCATCTGCATAAATTTGCTGACAGTTCAACAAATCGAACCGTATTTTGTGCACAACTTTAATTTCGAAAAGTGTGGAAAGATGGTAATCAATTTCCGAGCCTTCGCGGTGCCCAATTGGATGGATAAACTGAAAAATGGCAATCATGTATCTAGAAAAATATTGGAATCAGTTTTGCACCCGCTCATGTCGGCCGGTATGTAAAAAGTGCAGTTCCTTTGCTTTCTTCATATGTTAGTGATTGTGTTGTATTTAAACTTTCCGAACTGAAAGATGAGGCCAGTCAGGCCGTGGACTATGGCATACAGGTGGGTATTCTGGTGCCGTGGAACAAGAAAGGTGTCACTCCCAAGGGCAAACAAATATCGCTCTCTTTCTCGCAAAACGTCAAGAAACTCTGCAAATCACTGAAATTAGTTTCCTATTGCTACGAGTGCCATTCGTCCGGATCGCCAGAGCAGCTACAGATATGTCGCACATGTGAGCGTCATTTTCACAAGACTTGCCAGCGAAAGAATCCCAATAAACCCAATTATTCGATGCCCGTGGACCAAACCCAACTCCACCAATTTCTCAGCGATGATTCCGATTCGGAGGAGTTGTGTGATGAAAAGAGAGACGAGGAGGGGGAGCAGGTGGAGAGAAGAGTCACTACCACAACGCCGGCACCAAATATAAACGAGCAATGGGACGGGCGTAAGCATCACCTGGACTTCAACAGCAATATCAACGAATGGAAACGCGAAGCCGAAAGCTCCGATGACGACGTACTCTTTGTGGGTGAGAAGAAAGCATGTCAGCGCAAACGGAGCAAAACATTGTTGGTGAAGAACGAGCATGATCAGCGGAGCGCCGAATCCACCAACGCCAGCAAGCACAATGAGCTGGAACAGGAGCTGGAGCTATGCACAGCGTGTCGGCTGCAGAAGCTGGCTGATCTTCTGATTCCGCCACGCGTCAGCGTTGCAGAGCTGAACTGTCTACTCGACTTTTCGTGGCGCCAGCACAGCAGTTGGTTGCAAACCGATATTCGCAAGTACATCGACCAAAACTGGACCAAACATGATGCCAAACTCGTCAAGAGTGTGCTATTTAAGAACGATGTACTTGGCGTCTATAATATAACTGAAAACATCGATATGAAACGTTATACAAAGTTGGCTGATTTTGTGATTGATCTGCTGGATTTGCAGCATAATTTTGGGGTATTCTATGGCCCCAGCGGCGACGATTTCGAGGCCACCAAGTATCTGCTGCGTGATGTGACACACGATGTCCGCGAGATTAGCCGATGTGCGGACTGCTTTCGTCACTCGAACGAAGCGAATCACAAGTTTTGGTTCGCCAAGCCCTGTTTTCAGCGGCATGAGCTAGTCTACGCCAAGGCGCAAGGATCACCTCACTGGCCGGCGAAGGTAAGCAAATTGTGCACTGTTTAAATTATTGTTAATTGTTAATTAATTGTATTTGCAGATCATACGCGTGATAAGAAAAAAGATTACCATCTATGATGTACGCTTCTTTGGTGGCTCCCATTCGCGTGCCTTTGTCCCGGAGCATAATATCCTGCAAATCGATTCGAGAATGCCACAACTCGACAGATTGGCAAGATCATCGCGTAATTTTAAAGCGGCCATGCTGGAGCTGCGATGTCACGAGATGTTGCTGAATAAACCGATTGAACTATTTGACTTCCATGCCAATCCCAGCGAGGCCGAGCATCTCATTAATCATTCGCTATCGCTTTGCATGGAGGCATCGGAGCTCAGCAGTCCAATTAAACACAGCTCAGGTGCAGCGGCGCCAGCGAGCAAGAAGCGCAAAATTATTACAACAGCAACAACACCAAATGTATTCAAGCGTGTGCAGCCAATGCGAAGATGTTCCATGGCCAGACAAGGTTTACTGCCCATCGATCCCCCAGCGACGACAGTTGACAGTGAACTGTTGCGTGAAGTCTCGAACCTAAAAGAGCAACTGATACAGAAGCAGCAGGAGCTGGAGCAATTGATACAGAAGCAGCAGGAGCTGGAGCAGGTGAAGCGCAAGCGTTGGTGTCAAAATTGCCTGCAGCTGGCGAAATTTGATTGTTGCTTCACTGCGTCCTATTGCAGCGCAGACTGCAAACGTCGCGACAAACGAAAACATCAGCGCACCTGTGCCAGCCACTCCAAAAACTAAACATAAAACAAAGGAGATGCATATCCATTGAAGCCATTTGTACATGTACGAAAATACAAAAGGATATCAATCAAATTTCTTGACATAGAAATGAGATTTCCTATTTTTTATTGGGCTTGTTTTGCCAAATATTTCGGAGTTATTTATGGTGGTTAGAAATCATTTTAAACGGCTGTCGATTAGCCCAACAACTGAAAGAATTTAAGCTTTTGAATGGAAAGAGGGAATGCCAACAAACATATTGTTATGCTGCCTAAAACAAGTTTTTTCAACTAGACGAAAGTTAAGTTTCTTAAATATTAAAATTAGTAACTGCCAATAGACAAATTATGAAATTTTTTTGGTTGTGTTTTATTACGAGCCTGGCGTACCGCGAACAGCTGTTGCCCTTGCAAGCGCTGGCTGGCAACTGTGCCAACAACAGGTGGCAACGCCAAACGCTCTATTGCTGCTGCAGGAACAGTTCTTATTCAACGGCAAAGCTTTGCGGTTGTGTTTTTATTGGTGGCGGTTCCCGCGTCGCTTCTGTCATTTTGCCCATAATCGCGTGTTATTTTATTGTTTGTGTGTGCGTATATTTTACAAGAAGCATTGACAGTGAATAAGGTCAATACGCTTTAAAAACAAATTAATTGCCTTTTGTGAAAAATCAATTGCAGTGATTTGCTGGTGCTGTTGCTGTTGCTGGTTGAATAACAAAAACACGCAAAAATGCAGCTTGGAACTTTTGATGCATGGGATGCTTTGGTGCTGGCGAGCATTCTGATAATCTCGGCTCTGATTGGCATCTACTATCGCTATACGGGCGGCAAACAGAAGACAACACAGGAGTACCTAATGGCCGATCAGAGCATGTCAGCGTTTCCCGTCTCATTCAGCCTGATGGCCAGCTTCATGTCTGCGATCACGCTGCTGGGTGTCTCCAGTGAATCGTATCAGTTTGGCACACTCTTTGGTGTGATTAACATCTCCTATCTGTTGAGCACCCCGATCGCCGCTTACATCTTTTTGCCTGTCTTCTACCGGATGCGCACCACAAGCGTCTATGAGTATCTGGAGCGTCGCTTTGGTCATGCAACGCGTCTGACGGCATCCATTGCGTTCACTTTGCAAATGGTTCTCTACATGGGCATTGCATTGTATGGGCCAGCTTTGGCTCTGGAGGCAGTCACGGGGATACCGCGTGGCACTGCTATACTTGTGCTGGGACTGGTGTGCACCTTCTACTCGACACTGGGTGGCCTCAAGGCGGTGCTTATCACCGATGTCTTTCAGTCCTTTCTCATGTTTGCGGCCATCTTCTTGGTGATTGGTGCTTCAGCGATTAAGGCCGGTGGACTGACCACCATTTGGGAAGTGGCCCAGGAGCGGGGACGTGTTCAGTTCTTTGAGTTCTCAACGGATCCAACAGTTCGTCACAGTTGGTGGACATTGATTATTGGTGGCATGGTCACCTATCTATCATTATACGGCGTCAATCAGACCCAAGTGCAGCGTCTCCTCAGCGTGCACAACTTGAAGAGCGCCCAGGCGGCTCTCTGGTGGAATATGCCCATTCTTGGCCTGCTCAGCATGAGCACCATCTTCAGTGGACTGGCAATCTTCTATTACTATCGTGACTGTGATCCGTTGCTCAATGGACGCATCAAATCCCGAGATCAGCTTATGCCGCTCTTTGCCGTCGACACAATGGGTGAGTGAATTGTATTCCCACCAATTGTGGCAATTGCCTGAAGTTAAACTCTTTATTTGCTGCAGGTCAAATTCCTGGTTTGTGTGGTCTTTTCGTTTCGGGCATCTTCTCGGCCAGTTTGTCAACAATATCATCGGCGGTCACATCGCTCTCCGCTGTCACATTAGAGGATTACATCAAGCCGCTCTACAAGACAATTTTTAAGAGCACGCTGATGGACTCGAAGTCAACGTTGCCCACGAAAATCATTGCCTGTATTTATGGACTGCTCTGCATTGCGTTGGCCTTTGGCGCCAGCTCGTTGGGCGGCGTGCTGCAGGCCTCGCTGACCATTTTCGGCGTTGTAGGTGGCCCGCTGCTTGGCATCTTCACCCTTGGCGTTTGCACGGTGCGCACCAATCAACGTGGCGTGCTGCTCGGCTTTCTGGTGGCTCTGAGTTTTTCCTTTTGGATTGGATTCGGTGGACCGAAGCCGCCACCAATGCCGCTGCCATTGAACACCACCGGCTGTGACACATTCACAAATGTTACTCAGGTGACGGCAGATGCGCTTCAGGTTGCCTCAAGCACCACAAAACCAGAGTACTTTTGGCTATTTCGCTTATCCTATCTGTGGTTCTGTGTGCTCGGCTTCCTGATCACTTTGTTCATTGGCTACTTTGGCAGTTTGCTGATGGCGTATTTCAACTGTGCCAACAACTCCCAAATCTATTTGGATAAATGCCACAAGCAGCTGGATTACGATTTGTTTGCGCCCATCCTCTCACGTCGCTGGAGGCGGCAGCAGCTGGCACAAATACCGATGGAGACAGACGATCCGACGCTAACGAAGTTAACGCTATCAGATGCAGCTATATAATAAGTGAAATCTAGTATAATTTTACAACTTAAATGACATAGTATATGTAGTGTATATAGTGGGGGCAGTGGGGGCAGCCAACAGCCATGGCCCGTGGCACAGATTGCACAATTACCTATCGGCTTTAATTGCCAAAAGCAGCTGTTGATTTATTTGTATTTTTTATTAACAGTTGTCGTACCTAAAACGTGCATAATAATGTGACCTATATTTGTATACCTGCATGTGAAACTTATCAACTGCTTGAGGCGCCCATCAACGTCTTCCATTTGTAATAATTGTTAACTAGGATCTATGATATATGTATGTATATACCAACTAAACTAGAGGTCTGCAGGAATACATTCATATTTAGCACTCAAATTTACTGCACAGTATTCTATTTGAAACGAAATGGTGAAATGAATTCATGAAAATGAAAATGAAGGAAATTATTGTAAGCTAAGACAGTAATTAGTGGATACTGGCAACGAAACAAAGGCGTCGCAAGTAGTGTTGTAATAAATGTTATTAGTAGATTGCAATTATTGTCACAGTTAGATTAATATACAAAAGAAAAACAGGAATTTAATCATTTATTTATGTACTCTTTGTTTGACTTACAAAATCAAAAAAAAAAACAAAGAATCTAAAAATCTTTTACATATTTTTGCTTAGTTTGCTTCTCATTCATTATTCAAAATGTGAACTGTGCAGAAAATGACATTCAGCAGACCTCTCACATATACCTCGTAACTGATATTGGTAAATTGAAAAAACACAAGATTCTTTACACAAATTGTAATACTAACTCACGGAGTAGACAATAATTATGGAGTCGTCGCATCAGAGACTGGCAGCCAAAAGTCTCAAATGCGAGTGATCAATAAGATTTGGTTAGTAAGTTTATTTTATATTTATTATAGTCGTACTGCAAATTGTTAAAAAGGAAAGTATCTTATAAGCAAATATAGTAGCAATGTTGTCTTGAATATTTATAAACATGCCACTGCGCATAGCTTTCAACATATTTATATACACCCAAACATAACAATGGACTCGGTGTGGATGCTTAAATGTTACAACAAATCAATGAACAACATATAGTTTAAGTGTACAACAAAATATATTTATTGCATTGTACTTATATACACACATGTGTAAGGCATCAATTGCTGACCATTAAAATCTGTTGCATTTAGAAACTGAATTAATTCTAATTGGGAACTGCTTCACGCTAATAAAAGTATCACACTTATACAATGTACAAATATAACGTATATATGTATACTATATGTGTAGGAAATATGATAAGCTAAATTTACGCAATCAGCAAGGTTGCGAGCGGCTTTCCCTCCATGATTTGACTAATAGCGAATTAGTTTGCCAATGAATTTCATAACTTTGATTTATTTTCCATATTTATATATTCCATCTGAGATAGACGTGTTCATAACCTTGTCTATTGGTGACTGTACAAATTGGTTGAAATCGATTTGCGGAGTCAAAGTGTAACATGTGAATTGTTATTGGCTATAAAAAGCTAAAAAAACAATATTTATAAATTGAGTGTGACAAGCATTAATTGAGCTTGTCTATTTATTTGTGTGTGTATTTGTACGTCGAAAGTTTCTTTTCACGAACGTTAAAGTTCAAAGTACCCAAATTCTTTGTTGACATACATATTTATTAAGCGGCAGAAAGAAGAAACTAAACAGCACGCGAAAAGTCCAAAGTCGAGACTTGTTTTTTTACACATCAAAGATATATAAGAGAATACTTACACTCAGAAAAAAAATTGCGGCAACAAATTAGAAAGTTTATCTCACAAATAAATCAGAATTTTCTCTTCCGCCGCTATGTTAGAGTTTAGCTGCTATAAGTGAAATTAAGAAATTCTGACTAAGATATCAAATACTAATCGAAGAGCTTTACTTTTTGGCTATCGTTTATAGTTTCGAACATCTGCAATTTAAATAGTACACAGAGAAATCAAGAATACAATTACAATATTTTTTTAAGTTATAGCTTAGTTTAAGTTGAGTTTAATTGGTACGCTGCTGCTTGCCAAATTCCATGTATATATCCTCCAGTGTTGGCGGAATTATCGAGTAGTGCTCTATTTGGAGGGCGTCGCGATTATCTTCCATATATTTAAATATTGTGGACCACTTCAGTTCGAAGTCGGCTATTGCTATGGTGACCAAGCCATGAGACGTGTTCTTCTCTCTGACAAGGGTTGGGATTAGATGGTAAATGGTGCTCAACTCATCTGTGTTGCATACATACAAGATGTAACTGCTTGGAAAATCGATTTGAAATTGCTTTTCCACATTTTGGATGAGTACATCATATTCGGTCACATCATTCATAACTTCAGAATCTAAAACCTTTATCCCTGCTGAAATGGTTGAGGTTGGTCTTGGCGATGCTGATAGTCGTGATATCTCCAGTGCTGGTGTTCTCTCTCCGGAGCCTGTCCCTGACGTTTTCAGAGTCCTCCTCTTGGATTTTTTCTTTTTAAAATGAACCTGTGTCGCTTTGGTATTTCCCTCCGATACTGTTGAAATGGACGCGGCTTCTGATCCTAAAAAGGATAAGTGTTTAAAATGATCTCAAAGGAAACCGCATGATTCGAATCGAAACCGCATGATTCGAATCGATTTATGATGTTTGCACTTACCAACACTTGGTAAGCTGACATCCTCCATAAGACTGCAAAAGATATTTAGATTTGAATGAATAAGGTAGTAGATTAGATTGCATAACACAGAGTACACACTATAATTCGTCCATTTCAGCACTGGTGGCCAGCTGGATCTTAATGGAAATGCCCTTGCTATAGTGGCATATCAGTTCGTGGACGGAACCAAAGCAACAGAATTGACCATTGACCATAATGCCGATGGTGGTGCAGAGTGCCTCGCACTCTTCCACGTCGTGCGAGGTGATGAGAATGGACCTGCTCATGTTGCACATCTCCCTCAGCACCATCCAGATGCCCGCCTTGGTGCTGATATCCACACCAGTGGTGGGCTCATCCAGACAGGTGAGCGTATGCGTCAGCATTGCCATTGCAATATTCAGTTTTCTTTTGCTGCCACTGCTATAATCTTTGATCTTCCGATCAAGATACTTGCTGAACATTAAACGTTCGGCCAAATATAAAATGATGATAGGGATGAGGTCCTTCTTAATGCCAGTGGTCAAACAGGTGAATCTCAACATTTCACGACCAGTTATGTGGTTCCACATGGTGCTATGCTGTGGACACAAGGTGATGTGCTTAAAACAATGCTTCAATTGGCTCTTCACACGGAATCCCTTCACATAGATGTTGCCCCTACTGATCGATTGATTGGCGACGATCATGTCCACAATGCTTGTCTTGCCTGCACCGTTTAATCCCATAATTCCGAAGCATTCATAACTGCAGACATAATTGATGATATTAATGTGGTAATTATTAATTAATTATCTACTGACGGGCTGATCTTGAAGGACACACAGCTGACGGCGAGCACGTGTAGATACTTCTTAGTTATCCGATGGCAAACCAGACTATGCGCCCTCAACTGCTCCGGATCCTTAACTATCTCGTCGATTTCGGTACGCACGCTTCGCACGAGAGGATCATCGCCCCGAACCACGCAGGCTTTCTTACCACGTCTGCGTAAATAGTTAATGCAAAAAATGTTTAAATGTTAGTGAAAGTATCGAATTTGTGGCAAATCACAATGCAACTAAACTTGAACAGATATCCAGCGGCGACCATTCTGGAGGTTAGCAGCAATAGTATGAAAAATATCACCCCGCTGACTGCCAAATACAATAATTCTCGTCCGATAGAAACATCTTCCAAGCTCTCTCTTATAGGGCATGCTCCTGACTCGTCTATATCCATGCAACCGGTCAGTTCTGAGCCATACTTCAACAATACAAGGGTCGCATAGAACATTGCGTATATCGGCAGTATCATTAATACAAAGTTTAAATAGTAGCAAACACTATACGTCGCCTCTTTCGCAGTTATGACAATGGCAAGGAAAACTAGATGGATATGCATTGTGGAAGAGAGAGTTAACATTAATGATATCTATTTATGAAATACGTTTAAAAGATGTGATTTTCCTCTATACTTTTTCCCAATTAGATAAACAAGTATCGAAAACTGATAGTTCCCTTAAAGTATAAATAGTTGTGTAATTACCAATGGAACAGTAAATAAACAGTATATAGGACATGCTGCTGTCATGTTCCTTGAACAGAAAGGACAACAGATATGTGAATGTCAGAGCGGATAGGCCAAATACAAGCATTAGCAACGCCATCCAGGCTATAACCTCAGCAGGTTGATTATATAGAGCCACCAGCGTAGATGCCGTGATAAATAAGAATATGACAAAGTCCCAAACCAGATGCGATAACCAATAGGTGTACAGACTAATGCCACCAAGCAGCTGCAGCTTTTTCAATTGCGTTATTCTCTCGTGGACAGGCATCAGAACGAATGCGGCGGTGGCGAAGCACAGATACAGCAATATAAACGTTGTCTGCTTCCTGGTATTCAAGTGCTTGTCTTGCTCATAAACCGATGGATCGGAGTCGGTGCGCGGCTTATTGATAACCTTAATATCCATCCCAGTCAGGGTAAGTGCAATCGCCTTATAGACCAGGCCCAGTGACAACGGTGGGCCATGCGACAAGCGACGATTATACCAGGCTGTGACAGAGCCATCGCGAAACGTGACTCCTGCCACATAGGTGGTCTCAAAGCCCTCCGCATACAAATCGATGTTTTGCAACAAATAGTCGGCCACACTAACATCGTTGGGGGTGCTGCGCACCGTGGCACCAGCATCCATTGCCAGATTCTCGTATGCATCGGACACCGATTTGCTGTGATCCGAAATAACATAATCGACTTCATCGCTGTTGACTAGGTACTCCCGTATTACCAGTGCGCCCGGATAATTGGACAAGTCTGTGGGATTTATCACAAATAGAGCAGATTTCTTTTTGACTGTATCGGCCACGGTCTTCAAGGATATTAACACCAACGGCAACAAAATGATCGACAAAAATAGAAAGAAATGGTGCCTTGTGAAGAATATCTTCTTCAACATCATTCCATGCCAATCATTGCGGAATCTCTTCCAGGCGCTGTACTCATAGTGGTCGGATTGATCCGGCTTAAAAGCTGTTGGCGAAAGAAAGAATAATAAGGCGGAAGGAAGAATGCTTAAGTTGTCACCTCTATTCCTACATCGGATATATGAGTTGAGCAGTAACAGTAAGTATTACCTAATCAGGATCTGGTATCAAATCATTAACGCTTACCACTAATTATTGCTAGGCTTTGTTGCGAATGCATACTGTTTGTATTACGAGCTCCGATCTTCATGAAGGTCTCACCCAGTGTTGGTGCACTGACTGCAAAGCTGGACAGCTTCAATTTGGGCAGCCTTCTCTCGAGTGCAATGAAGACCCTCGTAAATGCGTCCATATGCTCAGCCGGCAGGCGATAGGTTATCTCAGAGCCCACAATGCTCTCGAGATGAGTGTTTGGAATATGCTGGACCAGAAATGCTGTCACCTCTGCCACATTGCAATCATCCAGTTTCGCACAGACCTAAATTCACACATTGTAAATACACTAAATGTATACGCGGTTGAACTTCTTACTAGACGATAGCCGGGTCCAAGCTGATTGACAATAAACTCTGGTGTGCCATTCCCATAGAGCTGACCATCACAAATGATTGCTACACGATCACCCAGCACTTCGGCTGCCTCCATTATATGCGTACTTAGGACAATGCAACGACCGGTCTTCTCCATACGGAAAAGATTCCACACCTCACGACGAGCTATCGGATCCAGACAATCCGTAGGCTCATCACAAAGTACCACCTATTGTAAACCAACAGATGTAGTTCCAATCTCAACTCTCTCTATCTCTGGCAGTGACTCACTCACCTTGGTGTTGGCGCAGAGGGCACAGCATATGGACAGTTTGCGCCGCATGCCGGTGGAAAGGTTTTTCACACTCATTGACGACTTGTCCATTAAATTCATTATTTCCAGATACTTCAACGCCTCCACTTCAGCATCGGCGCGTTGATATCCCTTCAGCCGGCTGTAGAACACAATATGCCAATAGGCGCTCAACTCCTCAAAGAGCACATTATTTTGCGGACAAATACTGAAGGATTCGCGAGCCTTTTGCGTGGACGTGGCCATGTCGTGGCCATTGACAAGCACTCGACCGGAGGTGGGTCGAGTCATGCCGGCGAGCATCATGAATGTTGTTGTCTTTCCGGAGCCATTATGTCCGAGCAGCACAGTTATCTCATCCTCGTACAACTTAAGGCTCAAGTCGCGCACTACCTCGATATCATCGTAGACCTTGTGCAATCGCTGTGCCTCCACGATGACAGGCCTGTTGTGGAGCACCTCCTGAAATCCCGGCATGGTTGGCCGACTGTATGTGTTGGCAATGGGCTGTTCTTCGTCCACGCCGACAACATTTTGACGCGGTCGATCCCAAGGACACCAGAACTTGCGTTTCAATGGAAAATACCATTTTTGGCCGGCAGCAAGATGACCGGGTACCAACTGATCGCCGTAGAAACAGATAAGCAACCGGAACACATTGCTGGCCATCATTAGGAGCAATATGGCGCCAATACTCAGATTATCATCTGGATGACTGTAATCGAATAGTTTGCCCCACTGGGCACCATCTCCCCTTAACTCAAAGCCCCGCACCTGGACCCAGATTGAGGGTATTGCGCTATTTAGAAATAGACCGTTGATAACAGATTGGCTGAGAGTCGGCTCAGCGCCGGTGAGCATGTACGGCAAGTGGCTAGCAATGTGACTAAGGCTAATGGTGGCCATGGCCATAACGGTGCTGGTAACAAAGGCGCTGATCATAAAAGTGAAGCATATCAGTGTGATGAGGTACATAAAAAATATGTGAAACAACACCAGGAAATGCGTGGAGGGGCACAGCAACCATTTCATCAGGCAAGCGATGACCAGCATCGGTATCCCATAGAATATGTAGGCAACGATGAACCACGACAGCCAATTAAATCCAACGGTCAGGCCCATTAATCGCATTATCTCCCTCAAATTCCTCTGCTTCTCCACGACAATTTGCTGTGAAAATGTCGAAATAAAGATGGGTAAGTGCTACTATCAAATGAAGAAAGACACACATTAAATGTGTATTAAAGTATTAACATTAAATGTGTGAAAGTATTAATAACGTCCATATTTATATAAATTGTTTTATAAATGTAAATTTCAACACTTTGCTGACTTTAATAAATGGATTCCAATTAATTGCATACTTTTGGGCATTTCAATTAAGTGTTTAATGTAACAAAATATGTTGCATACTTTTGTGCAGCACACAAGCCAAAGAGTATATAATAATATTGCCTCCCTTTAGGCTGTTTTCGACGCGGATTACTGCAAAACCACTGCATACTTTTTAGGCGCAGTTAAGGACCTTAAAACAAATCAGAAAACTGGGTCTATATGGGCCAAAAACTCAGATTTTGGAAGAACATGTATTAGACTGCCAAGGACAAAATCTATCGAAGTGCATTCAAGAAAAATGGGCTCATCCAAGAACCCAAACACTTGTAAAAAATTCACTGCAGCACGCAAGGAAATGAGTCGGAATTACAAAATCCTTGTTTTCTCGGTAACTACGGGGATGATTCGAGTGTCCTTGCGCCAGTTGGCTGGCCAACTACTATCTGTATTCCAAAGGACATAGGGATAGCCTTTGAAATGTCCAAGATACGTTGGATTTTTTGTGTCACAAGGGGGTACCCTTGTGGCATTTTTGGTAAATAAACTTTCTCGAATCCTGGAAAACTTTGAATGCAAATCGATTGTCCCTTATCCAGAGAGCTCAAAAATAGATGTAATGAGTTCTGACCCAAGACCAACGGTCACCTTTAGAAAATTAGCTTTAGTTCGACCAAATTCTTGCAGATTTTCGAAGTTAGAATCATTTCGCGTTAGAAGCACACGGAACTAAATTTACCGAACTACTGCGGCACTTACCTGACCAATAATCAAGCAGGGACCCAAAAACCTGAACACGAAATAGGTTAGGCAATTGTTAAACATTGGAAGCAAATGTGAATTATCCGTTCGCCTAATGTCGGGAAAGGGCTGCATGAGCACTTGAGGAATATTCGCACTTTCGTTCTTTGTCCGCATAAGGACCTCGCTCAGCCGCGCTTGGACAATGAGAAAACCCTCGGTGTCATAGATGCTCCTCGCCTTCTGTTCATTTATCGCATCGTATAACCGATGTGGCCATATCCTCTTCACTTGCGATCGCAGATGCAATGGAAATCGCAATGCAACATTCACCTCCGATGGTAGTTCAATGATGCTTCTAAGCTTATCCTCAAACTCGATGCCGACAAACCCATCCTTGTTCAACAGCGCCACTTCCAAATCGGTGGCATATAGAAATGCCTCGGTGTGATTGGCGCCCAGAATTGTGGCTACCTCTTCTATGACACCCTTGAGCACCTCGTTAGCTGGTGAATACATAATGGACCTAGGCAGGATTTAAGCATATCTTGATGCCAGAATCCAAGTATACATACGTTATAAACGGATGATGCAGCTCAATATGTGGATAAATAGTTTCTGCAATTTCCGTCGATTCCACATCGCTTATAAATTGTTCAATTTGAGTATATAGAAACAGCAATATGGGTGACAAAATGATAATTGATACGGCCAGTGGCTGAGACAGCAGGACACTCAAATTCTTGCGAATCAGTAGCCATAACTTGCAAATCTCATTCAACATCGGCGAACGTCCTTCAATCAGCGTCGTTGATGACATCTTAATTTTGTTCTTGCGTGTTTTTTTTTAGTTTTTTTTTTTTAGAAAAATCTATTTTGAAATATAATGCCACGTCTGGTTTAAGTTCTTCTGCCTGGATAGCTTCAGCTACTCTTTAAAAAGTCAAGTTAAGTAAATTAAACACTTTCTTTAAGCACTTCACACAAACAATTTGCATACAATTTTTTTCGGTATTTTATATTTGTTGGTTTTTTGTTTTTGGGTGCTGATGTTATATCATAATTGTTGCCACAGATAGAAGCTTACTTCTTCTTGGAGACACCAACAGTACGACCGCGACGACCCGTTGTCTTGGTATGCTGACCACGGACACGGAGGCCCCAATAGTGACGGAGACCGCGATGCGAACGAATCTTCTTCAAGCGCTCCAAATCGTCACGCAGCTTCGAATCCAAATTGGATGAGGTCAACTGCGAATATTTGCCATCAATGATATCCTTCTGTCTGTTGAGGAACCAATTTGGCACCTTATATTGCAACGGATTCGAGATGATCGTCACAACTTTGTCAACCTGCCAACAAAATCAAATACAAATGTAAACAATTCAAAAATATAGATATATCAAGGGGATATATTTACCTCCTCCTCGGTGCATTCACCGGCACGCTTGGTCAGATCGACATCGGCCTTCTTCAGGACAATGTTCGAGTAGCGACGACCAACGCCTTTAATTGCGGTCATTGCGATGCCAACTTTGCGTTTGCCATCAATGTTCGTACTCATGATACGAAGAATGTGCTGGAACTTCTCTGGGATGACGAGCGACTGCAAAATTATTAACAATTTAATCAAATACATTCGTCAGTCAGTTTTGTACCACCAATAACAAAAACAACAAAAGCCGATATTGCATTTCCGCTCGAAATTGCAACACAATTTAGACCCATATATACAACATTTAAATGCAGCATTTTGCAATCACGGCTCACACATTACCATCTATATGGGTATTTAGTGTTGTTTGGGTGCTTTTGCTGTTTGATTAACTTGTTATTTGGCGATTTATATGTAGACGCACCATTTTGCCCTGTTTAAGCGACAAATATTCAGTCGAAAAAGAAAGCGGATGTGCTTCTTCTTGTCACTTTTCGCATTGATATTTCGAAAAACAGTATTGGAATACACCGCAACTATCGATAATGTTATTAGACAGAGCTGTATTTGCACATGTGGCAGCCCTCCCAAAAGCGCCGTTATTGAAGAACGATGAATAAAATTGGACATACAAGTGGTAAATGTTTATGTCATTTAAATTTATACTTTTAATATATGTATAGTTTTTGCAGCACTCAGTTGTGTTGGTGAGGATGACGTGATTTCATTGCGCATAATATGCACTCTGGCACGCAATCGTCAATATAACTTAGAGGAGCTGGATAAGTATGGAAATACGGCATTGCTCAAAGCCTGCTATCTTGGAAAATTGGAATGCGCTTGCACTTTACTGGAATTCGGGGCAAATATCTACGTGGTCAACTATTTTGGTCAGAATGCCTTAACGCTGGCCACCCATTCCGGTCATTTTCAACTAGTTCTCGAATTGTTGCGTCGCCGCACTTACCAGGATTTTAATTTATCCTCGCTCATCCCAGCAGTTTGTGTGGCTGCCATGCGGCAGCATAGCCTCTTGGAGAATTATTTTATGAGTATTGATCCATTGGGTACAAAAGATTTGCACACTGTACATGGTAAGCTCCATTCCTAAATACATCTACTAAGGTTATTGAAACTTTTATTGCAACTTTTATTTTAGGTCTTGGCATTAAAGATCTGCGCCAGATGGTAAATGGAAAATCAAAGAAGAAACAAATTCATCCCTTGCAGTCCAACTTCATTAATAGAATTGATTAAATATAATTGTAATTGTCGGCGTATCTATTTATGTATGTATTTTATTTAAATTAAATTTAAACCTAAAAATTTCAATTGCGTACCAGGGCAGCATTTACTCTAAACATTCGCAACACTTGTTTGTGCAGTTGGGCAACGCTGTGTGGATAGCGGCAATTTGACAGCTGTTCGCGCCAAAACGCCAGTTTTGCCGCCGCAAACTTATTTTATTGTCAATTCAGCTACAAGCAGCAGCAACAACGCGCTCTTAAAATTTTTGCATAAATTCGCATTTTAGTAGCATAATAAGATAAACGCGTAATCATGTTTGAGGCACGTCTTGGACAGGCAACTATACTTAAGAAAATCCTGGATGCCATCAAGGATTTGCTAAATGAAGGCACATTCGATTGCAGCGATTCTGGCATTCAGGTAAGTAATCCAGATGATTAGCTGAGATCACGTTGCAGGCAATTCTAAAGTGACGCATCCGCTCTGTTTTGCAGCTTCAGGCCATGGACAACTCGCATGTGTCGCTGGTGTCGTTGACACTCAGATCGGATGGCTTCGACAAGTTCCGCTGTGATCGTAATCTTTCCATGGGCATGAATCTGGGCAGCATGGCAAAAATATTGAAGTGTGCCAACAATGAAGATAATGTGACGATGAAGGCACAGGATAATGCGGACACAGTCACCATCATGTTCGAGTCGGCGAACCAGGAGAAGGTCTCCGACTACGAGATGAAACTGATGAATCTCGATCAGGAGCATTTGGGCATTCCGGAAACGGACTATTCTTGCGTGGTTCGCATGCCGGCAATGGAATTTGCTCGCATCTGTCGCGACTTGGCTCAATTCAGTGAATCGGTTGTCATTTGCTGTACGAAAGAAGGTGTCAAATTCTCTGCTAGCGGCGATGTTGGCACTGCCAATATTAAATTGGCTCAAACTGGTTCCGTAGACAAAGAGGAGGAGGCTGTAATCATTGATATGCAGGAGCCGGTCACGCTCACATTCGCCTGTCGCTACCTGAACGCCTTCACCAAGGCAACACCGCTCTCCACTCAGGTGCAGCTGTCCATGTGCGCCGATGTGCCGTTGGTGGTGGAATACGCCATCAAGGATCTGGGTCATATACGCTACTACCTGGCGCCGAAGATCGAGGATAATGAAACATAGAAATATCTATATCGTATTCATACTACCAATATATACCACATAATTCACTCACATAGTTTGACATACTAATTATTAAGACTTTACAGCGCAGCATTTCATCCATTGGCCAATAAATAAATACATTTTCACAAAATACAATAAATTTGAATTCTGTTTGATGGCAATAACCATTTAATAACATAGTAAAACTGGGTACAATAAAACATAAAAAACTGGGCGAGTACGCTTAAAACTAAAGGAGGAATTTAAAACTGATATGCAAAATAAAATACATAAATGTATATATAATTCGAATAGAAGCTGATAAGCCTCAAAAGTGATGTCCAGACATAGGTAAATATATAAATTGGTATATAAATAACACTTAAGTACTCGTTTATAACAGGCACATATTCGAGTCATTGTATAAGTGTTGAGTACATATTGTTTGAGCTTTTATATATATACGAATCGGTATATATATATATATATATATACATACATTATTGAGCGTGCTTACACGCTCTCAATACTTGAACGATTGGCTTGGTTAATGTGTAGAAGCTTTAGCCTAACTAGTCGTATAATTGTATAGCTGCCATTACAAAACATATAAAGCTAAGCTAATTGCGTTATTTTCAATAATAATAATATAAAAATGTGTATCAAAAAACATTCGAGATGCAAAAAAAAGCAAGAAATGTGCCACATAAACCACACGTCAATTTTGCATATAACATTGTATAAATATAAATATATATATGGTTCATGTATATAAGATTAAGATTATATTGTTCTTAAGGCGCTGCCGATGCAGCCGAGCACGCACTGGGACTGGAGATCTCATCTTGGCCTGTGCTATCGTCGTTGTTATCTTTAGTTGCATGCAGCAGCATCTGCAGCGATTTGATGCAGCGCTTGGAGCCTTCCATCGCGTCATTGGACAACTGTCAAGGAATGTTGTTAATAGTTGAGCAGTATTTTTAGTAGTCTTTAGTGGAGTTTTGCATACCATTGTAAAATTTAGAAAACCATGTGGCAAACCCTCAAGTATCTCCAAAGTCACTTGTCGTCCTAGTCGCTTCAGTTTCTTGGCAAGCATAACGCAATCATCTAGGCAAGGATCCATGTTCAGCGTCTACGGGCGGATGGGTTATGGGAATGAAAGAAGTTAGTTAATATATTGAAAAGTTGGAAGTTGGGAACCTACAAGTATTTTGGTCTCTGGCAGTTGGGATAGCCACTCGTCACTGGCCCAATAGGGCGATAAAAACGGATCCTTGGGCACTTCGAATGCAAACTCCTCGCTCGGGCTGCGCGCAATCAGTGCATCCAAGTTTCGCACATCCTGCGGACAAGATGCACTGTGCGTCCCTCCATGTATCTCGTAGGATTGTGTGCACCGATTGATTATATTGTTGACCGCATCGTGAAAACGACCTGGCAGCGTGTCCACCATTATCTCGCGGCCCGTCTCAACCAGAATGTTCTCCTCGGAATCGCTTTTGGCGTGTCCATTTGCCAGTGGCAATGTTGTTGCCGCTGTTGTCGCTGTCACTGTATTCTCCTCCGTGGCCTCCATGGTGGCGGTGTCAATGAGATATTTGTCCAGAAAACTGTCAATGTACGCAGCTGAGGCAGCATCTTTGGGTATCTCAGCTGAAATCTCAACCGGATAATGTTCGATGGGCTGCGAATCGTCCTCAAAGGATACACACGAGCTATTGTCGCTGCCCCCACTGCTGGGCAGATCAGTGCGCTCCACCGTCTGACTGTGATACGACGCGCTGGCAAAAGTGTCGCTACTCTCGTCCTCATCCACATCCTCACGATTCTGCGGCGGCTCTAGCGGCGTCAGCGGACTCCTCGCTATTGAGGTGCGTCGACTCGAGTTGATGCTAATAGAGGCAGGCAACTCCACTCCCTGTTGTGCTGCTGCTGCCTGTGCGTTGCGTATCTGTTCCAGCTGATCCACATGCTTGGCATTCTCCTGCAGCATCTCATTGGACGGCGCTGCATAGGCGCGCAGGCAGCGCATCATAAAACCAAACGGCAACAGTGGATCCATTAGGCACAATAAACGCGCCGGACTGGGCACAAAGCTGACCAGCGTTGGGCAATAAGCGAGAAACAAGCCATCCGGTACCCGAACATTCTGCTCAATGCACTTGAGCGCCAGGCCAATGGAGAGATTCGCACCTGCTGAGTCACCTGCACAGATTACACGCTCTGCTGTCGTGCCGAGATGCTCGGCGTTGTTCAGCAGCCAGCAGTAGGCGTAGTACACCTCCTGCAGGGCACGTGGAAAGGGTGCCTCCGGTGCCAGACTGTAGTCCACGGATAGTATGGGCACATCCAGTGCCACGGCCCAGTCGCGCAAGTAGAGCTCATGCGATTTGGAGGATTGCGCTACAAAGCCGCCGCCATGGCAGTGAAATAGTATGGATTTCGATGGCGCTGCTGGTCGTCGCCAGCCGCGATAGCGTCCCTCGCCCAGCATGCCGACGCGTCGCTTGGCGCTCAGCAGTCGAACCGAGACGGGTAGACCAGGTCCCAGATGTGCACTGGGCACGGGAATGTCCACAAATTGCTGATCAGCGCTGTTTTCCACTTGCTGTAGACGCGCCGGCAGACGCAGTGGCTCCGCCGGCAGCTGAATCAAGCGATTCACTTTAATCGAAGTCCCTACAATGCTGGGCAACTTGTGCATCAGCTCCGATTCGGCGAGAAACCAAAAAGATTTACAGAAATCGATTTTGGCATTCTGCGAAATGTTGACAATGCGTCTGGCACGCAACTCTGGATTCATCAGATACTTGCCGCTGGACCACAGGCTGCGCGTCGTCTTTAGCAGAGTGCTGCTGCCGTTGTCCGTCTGCGAGTAATACGTCTCCGAGTAGCTGGCCATGCCGATGCCCAGAAACCGGAGCACGCCGCGTATAGAGTCGCCATATTGAAAGCCCAAGCAGCGACCGTAGAAACAATACTGATTGATGGTGTCGCCCAGCTCAAACAGTTGCTCGGCTGTGTGCCGTCCACTGGCAAGCAGATCGCCCGTATTCACTGACCACTGGCGCAGGATTAGCAGATACTGCAGGCAGGTGCACAGGGAGCAGAGTAGCTGCGAGCACGCCTCCACCTCCTTCATGAGGAACTTCTTGCGAAAGAAGAGGGTGGCGCGTGTGGCCAACAATTGCTGGCAAATACCGCGTCCATGCGAAATGCACGCATTGGTCACATAGATGAAACTGCGATAGCCGTTGCCCGGCGTCGCCTCATCAAAGTCATATTCGTGGGCAAAGGCCTCGATTTGCAGGACCAGCCGATTGGCCAGCACTATAAAATCCTGCCAGGCAATGTGTGCGGCATGCAAACGTTGTCCATGCTCAGTGTGGTCCTTGGCAAAGTAGGCGGCATGATCCTGGCAATCGGCGTACAGTTTTTGATATGCTGGCTGCAAATCGGCGGGCGTCGTTGTGGGCGTGGTTGTTTCGGCAGCTGCTGCTTTCATATTGATCTCATCAGTGGTGGTCGCCGCCTGGGCGAGTTTCAGATTATCCTCAAAGTGGGCATTCGGCTTTTGAGGGCGGCCGACAAACTCGGATGCAATCATTGCAGTGTGCTAAATAGTGGAAACAATATTCATTTACAATACAAATACAATTTGGGATAGTAACATAAAAAAAAAACAAAAACTTCGTAAAAAGCTGTATACAATTTGGGCAAATATATTTCTTGAAGATTAGCCATAAGGTAGGTGAAAAAAACAATTAAGCACCTGAGCCGGAAATGCAGCAACAGAATTAAGAATCAAACCCAATCTTAAACAGATTTAAATAGCTTTGCTTAACTAATTCCATTCGAGCCAGTGTAAAAAAGAAAAAACTTTCACTTTTTCAACTGCAAACTACGCAATACAACATTTTGATTGTTTTAAATCTTTGTGTTGCTGCCATTTCCCAAAGCGTTACTTTTTAACTTACAGGTGGTATATGCGTTGGCGCTGACTTATTTCATGGTTTAATAGTACACATATGCGCAAATTAGCTAATTAAAAAATTACTCATTATTTGCGGTCGAATTGTGGAATTGTAATTGTTTTGTAATAGTGTTGGCTAAATGGATTTGAACTTTTGAACAAGCTCACTTGTTCATTCTTACATATTGCAAATTTAACAATGCACTTTATACGAAGCAAAATGCATTTCTATCGCGCTTTTATGTTAGCATAGGTAACGTTCCAGAGCTACGCAAAATAAGTTAGCAATAACAACAATAACAACAAATGAACACAAGCAATTCAAAAGGAACCAGCTCATAAGGCATCAGGCACAGCTGATCGGTGCTAGTGTGTGCACTTTACAGCACTAATATGTTTTATATTAACATATCGATATACATTGACTCATTCAGCGGTGTTTCACGAGAGAGAGAGAGAGAGACATTGTATCCGATTGCAATTCCAGGAACAAATTTGCTGTGCGCTGTTAACCAAGCATTGAAGCAAATGTTAAAGTTCTAGTAAACGAAATTTATTATATTATAATGTGTGGGTGTGCGTAAGTCCAAAATTTAGAGTACGCATTGAACAATGAGCGTTAGCATTGTGCAGTACTTTGGTGAGCAGAAGAACAAATGTGGCTACTGCACGGGAACAGAGTGCAGCAAATCACATGGTAAGAACAATCAATTGGAAATAACAACAACAATAACAGAAGTATCAGCGCTAATAATTCAAGTTCAATGTTCTCTACATTTCCTGTTTCTGTGTGACTGGCTGTGTGTGTTACGTGTGTGCGTGTGTCATACAGGTTTGCATGCATTTCGGCTGTCCTGCGATGATTACCAGGAGCTCATAGATCGGGGCTGGCGACGCTGCGGCAATTATTGCTATAAGCCGCAAAACGACATCACCTGCTGCCCCTGTTACACGATTAAATGCGATGCGCAGCAATTTAAACTGACCAAGTCAAATAAGCGCATATTGCGGCGCATGAACAAATTCTTGCGTGATGGCAAAAGTGGGCCAAGCACATCGAATGCAAATGGAAATGGCGATGGCGATGGCGATGACGTCGGCGAACGTGGAGTTTATGCAAGCGAACTCCAACCCCAGCTGCCTGATAAGAAGCCAATATCTATTAACGTGGAACAAGTGGAGACCTTATCCCAGGCACATGTCGAGCAACTAAAAATCACGAGCACTTTGGACGCGGGCAACGGTGATCAACCCGCATCATCGTTGGCAGCAAACAAATGTAAAGGTGAGCTTCATTGACTTGATATGTTTCATTCTTAATTCAATTATTTGATTATTTGAATAGCTAGTGGCTCGAACTCAAATCCGCCGCGCAAGAAGGCCAAACAAATGCGACTGGAGCGCAGGCAGGCCAAACTGGGCCAAACGCCCCCCGATCAGCAACAGACCAAAGCTTTAAATAAGGAGAAGAACTTGCAAGATTTTCTGGCAGTTCCGTGCGAAACGGATGTGCACAAGTTAAAGGTGTGTGTGGGCTTTCAAAATCAAACATTTGCTTAAAGTTCAATCAAAACATGACTCACGTTTCATATACAACTCGAGTGGAAAGTAAGCCGAAAAATCAATTTAAAAGCCCCACCTTAACTTGTTTTCTGTAAATTTCAAAAATGGTTGTTTTTTTGTATATATGCCAGACACTTTCCTTTCATCGCTCGAGTTTAAGTAGCACTTTAAGCAAATGCCATTATTTTGTATACCCTTATGCAGAGCGTAGTTGCTGTGTTTTGATTATGTCTATCATATATATATATATATATATGTATACATATTGTTGTTTTGTGTTACCTTTTACGTGTGAGTCATTGAGTCCCTCTATGTACACACATCGTATTTGTGCTATTTGTTGCAGATCGTGTTGGTCGCTGCCTCAGATACACAGCGCACTTGTACCGATGCAGTGCACGCATTGTATCGCAAATATCAATTAGTCATACACAATGATAATCCCGCACGTCTAACACTAGCTAGTATGAAGCGGTTTTTGGTACAATCACCCCTAAAGGTAATTATCAATGATTTTCTTCTTTTTGTGTAACTGCTTCCATAGCTGCGCTTGGTGCCCGTCGATGGTGAGGAATTTAGGCGTACGCTTCCGCAAAGCTACGAACTGTATAGGAAGTATCAGATTGCCATACACAATGATCCGCCCAAGCATCAGGAGGCCTATCAGGAACATCTACAACATTCGCCGATGAAGGTTGCTAATTGTATTGCCAACAATTTTTATTGAATTAAAAACACATTATTATTTCATTGATCGTATAAGAGAATAATCTAATCCTCAAAGTGTTTATTCTGTGCAGCACCAAATCAGTGAAGATGGTCCCGAAATGGGCTATGGATCATTTCATCAGCAATACTGGCTGGATGACAAGTTGATTGCTGTGGGCGTCATTGATATATTGCCCGGCTCGGTTAGCTCTGTGTACTTCTTCTATGATCCCGACTATAGTTTTCTGTCGCTGGGCACATATGGTTCTTTGCGGTGAGTTTTGAGTGCATTTTTTTAATTATTGCTATTGTTATTAATAAATATGTCCGTTTTTTTTTTAGGGAAATTGATTTGGTGCAAAAGATTGCGGCGCGTGTGCCCGCCTTGAAGTTTTACTACATGGGCTTCTACATACACTCGTGCCCCAAAATGCGCTACAAAGGCAAATTAGATGCATCTTATTTATTGTGCCCAGAGACTTACGTTTGGCTGCCCCTAACCGATGGTAACTGTTAAAAACTTAATCATTTTATATGCTAACTAACTTCTTCTTTTTTGGCAGACATACGCTCCAAGCTCGATGCGAACAAATATCAACGCCTGAATCCGGACGCAGCTGCAAGGGATGCAAATGAGTTTTTGAGTAATCATTTGAATGATGTAAAGTTGCTGGTGAACGGCAAAAGTTATATCACTTACAAAGTTTTCGTACAGGTAAATAAAATACGCTTACTGCCTGAAATCCACTTAACTTATTTATTTATTTAGATTGAGGGCGATAATGACGGCCGCGATGACATTATGGAATACAGCAAACTTGTTGGTAAAGTTTGTGCGCAACGCATGCTTTATGTAAACATGTTATGAATAATTTCATATATATATATATATATATATATATATATATATATATAGAAATTTATAAGCGCACCTCAATTCGTATGCAGCGCAATAAAGTTAATATAAACAACAGAAATTAAGCCTTAGCTAAGTAGTTGAAAATTGTTTCTTTCAAATATAATTGTTTATTGTCTGTTGAGCCCAGAATAAGTCTTTGTTCTTAAATTCAATCTTTGCACATTAACAAATAAAATCAACAAATTGTTCAGCAAATATATGAAATACTCTCAATACTTTAAACGGATATACTTAACGAAAGATAAAAATCTGTTCAACTCTATATTCAAAATCATTTGTGATAACTATGATAGCACGAGCGAATCGCACTTTAACAACGGCTATCACAAATGATAGTCATTTATCTACAACTGGCAGCTAAATGCATCAATAAAACTAATTATCTGACAACACTTGCGCGCTCTCAGAGAAGCTGCTCCGCCAAGTGTTTGCAGTCACGAGCACTAATTGTATATCTTTATACGACATTTGTACTTGGTTCATATCATGATTAAATATAATTTGGCAAACTGTTGTTGTTGGTAAGGGAAGCTGACTTGAAGATTGGGTTTCTAACCTACCTCGATGACGCTGAGTTTTGTATAATTTAGACTATGAGCACAAAGCTATGAGATACTCTACAAGTTTCTTCGGCTAGAAAAATATATATATTTGTGTTTTTAGTTTTTTTTTTTTGGTGAGGTAAAGACTAATCATAATTTTAATGGCATTGTAGCTGCAGCAAAAAAACGGTTGAGAAAACTTGCACAGTTTAAATTACACAGTTGAAACTGCATGTCAATACACACACATTGCAACAATAAAAAAAAAAAAGAAAAGAAAAAACAAATTTATAAATAATATAACATTTTAACGCGTGTCTGCCATTTTGTCCACATTTGTCAAGAGGTGCTAATTAAACACAATATTTTGTTTTACCTATAAACGGAGCGCTGACTTTTGTGCACCAGACGTGCTGTTAATTTTGTTTTGATACCCAATATCAATACTATGTATCAAAAAGGCATATATTATATTATGCTAATGACTGAAACAGGTAAGAAACTGACTCTAATATTTTTTGAGAATCATTAGCCTTTTCAAAGCTGGCGATTATCAGCGTCAGTGTTTGTTACACTAATCGAAATAGACTAGTTAAACTTGCAGTTTTTAATAATTTTATGCGCATGCTAAAAATATGCAAAAATAGCAATAGAATTAATCTAGGTGAAATAAATCATTTTAGGCACGTGGCCGCGTTTTGGTTATTAGCAAGGAATGGTAAATATTTAAAAATCGAATACTTTGATGTGAAGTTTGTCATTTGTCAAGCGTAGTCTTTTCAATTTGTGCTCTTTGTTAATTTCCGTCTGTTTATTGGCATAAAATTTAACACGAATTCGATTGATTGGCCAAGCAAGGACAGTCAATAATTCTAAATATGGAATTCGTAATAAAGGCGTGAAATCTGCGTCTTAAGGCCAGATTGGTGTTTCTAGTATTTTTATTATGTTTATAGTCACTCTTCGCATTGGGTCTTAGCATGAATTTGTTAATTAGTTCAGATTCAAGTCGCAAAGAAAACTAGCTCGTCGTGAAATAATCGCATGCGATCGCAGCTAGAGAGCGCTAAATAGAGAAAGAGAGAGAGAGAAAATTTGGCGAGCAGAGCAAAGCGTTGCGACGCATCGCTTCAATCTTGAAACCGCCAACAGTCAACAACATTTTAAACAATTTTAACCGTTTTTTTATATATATTTTTTTTTTTTGCGCGCGCTGCTTTGTCGTCGGCCGAAGTTTTGCTTATGGAAACGTCGTCGTCATCTGAGGAGGGGGCAAATATGTAAGGTAAGTTAAAAAGTATATATGCCATTGGCAGTTGGCGATTCAGCTTCATTCGTTTCGCGGCGTTCTCAGTAGCTGTTGTGGCTAACTGTTGTTGTCCAAACATTCCCGCACCCGCAATCCGGCACCCGCAACTCCCACACTCCCCAAATTCGGGTGCTAAGCGGCTGTCCAAAAAAATTGTGAGTGTGTTGTGCAAGTGTGTCCAAGAAAGGTGAAAAAAACAAGAACAAGAAAGAAGGACTCAAAGAAAAAAACGACAATAACCAAAAAAAAAAAAACAAAAATTGATAATTATAAACATTTAAAGTCGCAGAGCCTCTTCGCCTCTTCGTCTGTGTGCAGCTCGTGTCATGGAAAAATTTCTTGCGTATAAATTATTTGTATTAACAAAAAGTGTGCCAAGCGAGACGATAAACTTAATATCATTATGCGAATGTGTATTGTATTGGATGGAGCATGATCGTAAATTTAACGGCTTAATCAGTTGTCAGATTCCAGCAGATCCAAAGCAGTTAGCATAACACGTGCATAAATATTTTTAATTACATATCTTGTGGCATTATCAGTTCGCTTATTATTTGGGTTAAGAAGAGTGCAGTCACAAAATTTAAAAGGTGGCTAATTTAATTGGACAACTGGTTTGGTTTTTGGACACTTTAAATGAAATAAATTCCTAATTGAATAACATCGCTTCGAATTCGCCATGTACTTTTTTGTCTTATATAATTTGGTCTAGTGTCATTAGTAAGGGGATTTTTGTCAGAAGTTTTGAGTTTTATCATTTTTGTTTTTATGTTTACAGTTTTTATTTTTGTTTTGCAAGTGCTACTTTTCAAATTGATTTGCTAATTACAGAAATATTTGTTCGCAGTTGTTATACATGTAATATTCAAAGCAATTTTTTGTGTGCTCTATAATTGTGGGTTACTAGCATATTATTGGAATACAGCTAATTAGAACGTGCAAAAATGCAAATACAATGGGAATAACTGTCAAAATACAATTCTCAATTCGCAATGCTCACAATTCCTGATCAGGAATTAATTGATATACTTTGATTATACGACTACTAAATTATTAATAAGTGATACTAACTGGTACCCCAGGCGTATTAGATATTTATATATTAATATTTTCTTATTCAATGTGAGTTACGGTTCAATGCCATTGAATAACTTTGCAGAATTTCAACGGCGAAAAAAAGAAACCAAAACAAAAACATAACTAATAAAAACAGTACGAAACATTGAAGCGCTCTTTAGAAACCTAAGCAAAAGCAAAACAGCTGAAAAATGTTGAGAGAAAGAGAGGAGGAGAGATAGTTAGAGAGGAAGAGAGTGAGAGAGAGAGAGGGAGTGACATAGAGAGGGAGAGAGAGAGACAAACTAGCAAAGCATGTCAAATGAGCGATCGCGTCTTATGTAAATGCTTCAAGCACGCGTGCTACGGGTACATATATTATTTGTTATATATACACATAATCCGTTATATGTGCACGATGTCCAAATCGAACGTATCTATGTAATATCATACCGTAATGTCGTGCTATCCAAAGTCACCCCCCACATAATAAATCAAATCGTTTGTGGCCCCTAAAAATCGAATATTTGCAATAAGAATATTTCAAATTTTTGTAATTGACGATTAATATATCTATATTGTGGGTTATTTAGCCAATCTGCCTTTTATCAGGCGTCTATATATTTTTACAATTATGATTTTTGCTTGCCCTCACCACCCATATAATATCATAAAGTTTTGAGTTGATTTTATAAAAGCCAGCACAATGCGGTAATGACGCTGATAAAGCGCCACGCTCCCGATTAGAGGTGCATAAAACAGAACAATTAACTGCACCCTCAACCTAAAGATATTCACTATGTATATAATATTTTAAAGATCTTTTTACTCTATTTGTTACATGCTAATTCCCGAAGTTTATTTTTATATTCAGTTATTTAAGATTTGTTATGGCTGTAATGCATTTGACACCTTCTAATTACTAATTACCAAGTTTTCATAAACAAACTCATTTGTGGTAAAGTGTTTTTCACGCTGTAAATTCCTTAGAATTTGTTATTCAATTCAAATGACTCCATTTCGAGTAAGTAGTAAGCAATAAATATATACAAATTAAAGATTTAGATTGATACAGAATATTATCTTCATATACAATTTCCTAAATTGATGCGATATCTTTTCGCTTAACTTAAACAGGATGCGAGACAATCTTCAAAAACAAAGAAATAATAATTATGAATTTAAAAGATAAAAGTATTTTGGACTTCCTGTTACAAAAGTCAAATATGTTTTGTTGCACAGTCTGTTCGCATTTGTCCCGCCACTTAAACAAGATAGTAATCTACTCTTAAGTTCTTAAGTGCGTTAATTGTGTTATCGCACTTTGGCTAATTAATTATACTGTGCACTTCATACTAACTTCACTGATGTTCTGCAATTGATATCTGACTCAAAGTTTAATTAAAATGAATCTAACTTTCACGATTTGGATATCTTTCTTTAATGGCATTTCTTTATTACCTTATCCAAAGTATTCTTTTTTTTTTGGGGAAGATCGAGTTAATCACAATCACAACCACAAACAAAAACAAAAATTGTGTTAATAATTTATTGAGGTAATGGATATTTTCTAAGTGAACTTTGGCATAATGGCGTTATATACTTTTTTATGTCTAGCTGTTATAATTTTTGATTGCAGCTCTATTAATTATTTTTATTTTATTTGCCTTCTACCGTTCATTGAGAACTGTGGAAAAACCAAAATACGATTGCTTATCACAACTAAGACTTGTTTATGAGCCCACTTTACACAAATGGGTTTTGTTCTTGGTACACGAGTCAAGTATGATAATAATCTACAGAGTCATAATACTAGTCGCTTTCGAATGACAAGCTGCAATCTATTAGCGATTAGTGTTCTTTCTTTTTGTCATGGATCATTAGATCTTGTAAATTATCGTTTTGGCTGGCTGAGATTTTTCCACGTTGAAAAAGTAACTGCGTAAGGACTATATCATAAATTAAGAAAGCAACGTAATTCCAGTCATAAATACATGCTTAGATTGAGTAGGTTTGTTTTTGTGTAGTGTATTTTGAATTAGTTAAAGTCGAGCAAGAATCATGCTTTCATTTTGTTGTTAACTAAATTAATCTTCGTCTAAACTACGTTTTCCTTAACCGGAAGTATACTTTTTTAGAACCCGATATGAATTAGTCGATAAGTGCATTATTTATATTATTTTTGTGAGTACTAAAAATATAACTGGCTAACTGGCTAACTGTCTTATCTAACTCTGTCAAATTTAAACGAGACTACAAACTGCCTGTGCAATATATTGAATATCGTGAATCGCTTTCAAACAGCTGTCCAAATGGAATCCAATATACTGTTTCGACGTGCCAAGGGCGTTATTTTCAGTTGTACATATTTATTTATATATATATCTATATATATGTATTTGTAGACTGTATCGATATATAACAGTCGTCAAGTGTTGCACTTTACAATTGCATTCTCCCAAAACCAAAGCTGTTGTTGCACAAACGCTAGTTTTGTGTTTGGCATCTGAACAATTTGATAAATTTGTGTGGCGTGTTATGGAGTAATTACCTTATCAAAAGGCTGCCTGCTGACAGCCAATGATAGCCGATCTGTACTTACTATAAATCAAAAACACTTAAATAAAAACTGCATTAAAATGATTTTTCGTTTTGTATTGTTGGTATTGACATTCGTCATGATCGAAACACAATTGTGGCTTAAATGCCGCTCACGTGCGTTGCCAAAACTGCTAACGGAGAACGTGTCTCAACAGTTGGTCAAATCATATACATACGTATAAGCCACATACATATGTGTCTACATTATATATTCGATCATTGTCAGAAATTGTAGTAGTAGTAAATATTAAGCAAACATTTTCTAAACTTGTCACGAAATTCCCTTCATCTGCCAAACCGGGGAATAGTGTTTTTTGTATATGTATATTAAACAAGTTATAGCAAGTCGAAATTATGAAATCGGGGTTTTGCAATCACTCTTCGAGATTGACAATCGCTAAATCAGTTAGAATTTATTAATATACCTTTTACATTTGCAATTTGTGATATAAATAAATCTACCGCAAATCTGACTTGTGCATTCGCATTTCAGCATTTAAATCAAATTCATCATTCGCGACTATTCAAAGCTTGTGCGAATACCCACCCAATCCATGTAATTATATATGCATTGAAATTTGAACAATTTTGAAATTTTGCTCTATTAAGATATTTAAAATTTAGGAATGCGATTAACATTAAATATATGTATTATAAAATTTCCCAATGATATGCAATTTTTAGAAATTCAACACGCTTAAGTAAGCACTTGCGATAAGATTGGTAAACTCCCAGCTGGAAAAAAAACCTGTATATGAAATAAGCTGACTCAAAATAACTCCGCAATCTTATTTAACGATTCGAATATGCACTGATTCGAATTGAATACAATTAGAGTGTGCCACTTGTGCCAGTTGCAATATGCATAATAATAATAAAGTCTTTAACTGTTTCCCGTTAACTTCTTTCAGTTGACTTTGACGAGCGGCTCAGCAACAAGCTACCAAAATGGCTGTTATACCCTGCTGTAAGTATTATTTCTGTATTAAGCAAAAAATAAGAAGAAACAAATTAGGCGCAGTAAATAAATCTCACGTGATTTTGCTGTAATGCGTCAGCAAATAAATTCCCCCCAAAAAATGGAATAATTAAATATTGAAAGTTACGCGTGCGCCGTTCATTAAACACCTGCTGACAAATGGCGACTGTCGCTCGAGCTCGGGCCCCGATTCCCCAAAATGCCAAATATTGGCAGAGTTCCAGTTGACAGATCTCAGATTCGGCGATAATTGCGCTAAGTGCTACAAAGCTAGCAGAAAATAGACATCTATAAATAATGGCTTTATCAACAATAATTCCTATTAAATTAAAAATTATATAATTGTTTTCTATTTGCTTTTCGTTGTTGTTGTTTTTTTTTTGCAGTTTATGTGCCGAAGCGCATCAATGTGGGCATCATGTTGTTTATGATGTGCCTCATTAATTATATGATGCGCGTCAATCTGTCAATCAACATAATTGCCATGGTTACGAACCACGATGAGAATGGAACACTCGTCGAGGAGGAGGATGTGAGTATCTCGATGAGTCCACCTACTCACTTCTAAATATATCATTTATAAGTGTATAGTTTGATTGGAAACTTACAAATCGTCGACTATTTCGCATTTCACGACTACTGATCGACTCTTTAGCACAGTCTGGCAACTGTAAGCAATCCTTGCTAACGCTCTCTAGCTGACTGCTATGAACTTCCGCATAGCGTTACCATCCTTTTTACACAAATATAAGTGTAAAAGACGAAATTTAAATTGAGAAACATAATATTAAAACATATCTATTTTATTATCTATTTCCTCTTTATAGTTTGGTCCACGCTATGATTGGACGCAACAGGATCAGGCTTTGCTGCTGGGTGGTTATTTCTATGGTTATATGGTTACCTCATTGCCAGGAGGCACACTCGCCGAAATGTTTGGCGGACGCAAGGTGGCTGGTTATAGTTGCCTGTTGGGTGCCATTTTGACCGCACTTACCCCGCTCGCCGCCTCCTGGGATAAATATGCGGTATTTGTTTTGCGCGTCCTGCTTGGCCTTGTCTCTGGTGTCGTTTATCCTTGCTGCCACAATTTGGTCTCGAAATGGTCACCACCCGATGAGAAGGGCAAATTTGTTGCCGCATTGATGGGCGGCACATTTGGCACCGTGATCACTTGGCCCCTGTGTGGCTTAATCATCGAGCATATGGGCTGGGTTTGGGCATACTATTTGGTTGCCGTCTTTGTGGTTGTTGTAGTCGGTGTGTGGTTCTATCTGATTGCCGATACGCCGGCACAGCATGGCAGCATTAGCATCAAGGAGCGCGAATACATTGAGACGAGTTTGGGCGACACAATCGGGAACAAGGCGGTAAGTTTGCAACAAATGGCTGGCTGTATTAAATATTCAACTAATTGTTGTGCCTCTCCAGAAATGGCCGCCATACAAACAGCTCATTGTTTCGATGCCATTCTGGTCACTGACACTGCTGCATTATGGCAGCATGTGGGGATTGTTCTTCCTGCTGACAGCGACGCCGAAATTCTTGAGCGAGGTGCTCGGCTTCAATCTATCCTCAGCTGGAATACTCTCCAGCTTGCCGCACATTGCGCGTCTCATTGCTGCTTTTGGTTTTGGCTCCGTGGCGGATTGGATTCGTCGCAAGGGCTGGTGGACTGTGACGCTTACACGCAAAGTATTCTGCGTGCCTTGTAAGTGAAACTCGAATCTTAATTGAAGTCTCTTATTTAATTTTATTTAATTTGCTTTGCCTTTGTTTTTGCAGCTCACATCTTGCCCGGCATTATGCTGATAATATTGGCGTATGTTGGTCGCGATCCTTATGTGTGTGTGGCTATAATGACAATCTCGCTGGGCTTCAATGGAGCTGCCACCTCTACCAATTTGGCCAACTCGCAGGATCTGGCGCCGAACTTTGCGGGCACCATGTATGGAATTATCAATTGCTTGGGCACCACGCCCGGCATCTTTTCACCCTTAATTGTGGCCGAATTTACCAAGGATAATGTGCGTATAAAAAAAAAAATCAATGTTCATTAATTGTAATTTATTCTTTGTAATGCTCATAGAACACCATCGATGAGTGGTTCTGGATATTTATAATTGGGGCTTTGGCCTACATTTTGCCAGCGATATTCTTCTGGGTCTTTGGATCGGGCAAGATACAGAAGTGGAATGAGGTGGCGACCAAGGAACCCCTCGACGATGTTGTCAATACAAAGTTGTAATTTGTATTCGCTGTGATGTTGTTGTTAATATTACTAATGCCATATGCCAATTATGACATTATTAATGCGACTTTATTCTTGCAACAAAACTGCAAGCTGGGGTTGCATTAATACCGAGTCCTATTAAAGTTAATGCTGTGTATTTATTGTTCTTTTGAAAATGATATTGTTTTTCATATAAAATATTCACTCACTGATTTTGTAACTTTGTTTGAATAAATGTTTAAGGAAATGACCTCTATATATTAAGAAAAAGAAAACTACAATTTATTTTATTTGGAAAACTCTTTCCAGCTCAGATTAGATCGCTCTTTGGAATCTTGTTGACCATTTAAACCGGTATTTGTACAGAGCCCCATAAAACGTTTACAAATTGTCATCGACCTTAGTGATTTTTATTTACTTTTTTTGTTAGGGGGGTTACACTCGAACTGGTTGTTGTCTCCACAGTCGTTAATTTTTTTTTTTGCGCACTCAAGCAAAAAACCCCAAAATTGACACAACAATTAGTTAAGCGTTAATCAAAATGCAGAACTGCAGACCTCGTTTTTTTGTTGTTGATCAATGGAATGAATTTAAAAAAAACATCACGGCCGTGGGCCTATGTAGCAATGATGTCTCAAAGAGCTTTCTAAAAATATAATATTGAGGAAAAACAAGTGTTGTGAAATAAATGTTTCAAAATATTTGCCAAGTACTCGAAACTGAAACAGCGATATGCTTTCGCAAGTAATTTACATCATTATCAATATAATAAACATACTTGCTGTTATTAATAATGTTGCAATTAATTATCATTTTTGTAAAATTGCTCTCCTCTTAGTATGTGTCGTACTAAGATATTATGTTGTCGTTAAATAAATAAATCAAATTTAGCGCGCCAAACAATCGAATAATAATCGCCAAGAGAGCGACCAATAGTAAAAGTGTGACCAACGCTAATACTGTTACCCAATAACATATCCATTTTGAGTAAAACCAATTACATTTTTCTGTTAATTAACAGCTGTTCAGCACAGTGTTAAAGTCGTGTCTGCAACGCACACACACAGACGCGTTTGTTAACGTAAAGCAACTCTGCTTTGGCAAAGTAAACTTTATTTATTTATAAGCGCAGTAGAAACCCATTAGCGTACATTACTTTATACATTTAGAACAATACACAACGTGAAAATGACTGAAGTTGAAGCGGTGCAAATTATAGCGGAATCGTTGAAGCAACAGGTAAGCTAATCGAGACGCCATTATTATCCAGCACTATGAGTCTTTGCCATTGTGTCGCTCTTTCCTTTGTATGCATTTCTTGCATGTAAACATGTGTGCAAAGCAGAATTGTTAAGTGCGTTTAACTGTGGATTTAACGGCAACAAGGCCTCGTTGCTTATCTTTCGCAAGCTTTTTTTTTTCATATTGTACAAAGTTCAAAAAGCACTTGCAAAATGAATGGCCAAAAGCAATGTTATTTCTAGCCGGTGCTCTAGATATGAGGGGATCTTGATAGTGCAGCTATGTTCAAAGTTTCTATAGGTCTTTAAAACATTATCCAACACGAATTAGGCAGTAAATTAATCGAGTTTAGCAGCTGATTAAAATCAATGGGCAGATTCGCAGAGGTTCCAAAGAGAATTATTTTGATTAACATCGTATTTGCTCCAATTGAACTTTAAGCTTTTACATTCTGATTAGTTTTACAGCCGCAATCTGCTGCTGGGTAATAGAGTAGTGCTTATTCTAAGCAAAAAATGTAATCTGAATTTGTTGAATACACATTTGAATTTTTATGTTATTTTTTAGATTGTACACAAAAAGATATCAAGTCTTCTGTTTTTTTTTGGTTAACAATGGTTTTTATTGTTGTACAGCAGGGTAATGAAATAGAGTTTATTATAACCTTAAGCTGTAAACTGGATTTGTTGTATTTGTTGTATTTTACATTTGATTCAGTTCACGTTGGCAAGTCATTATTTGAATTGTACACAAAACTGTAACCAAGTATTCTAATTCTGTTTGGTTAAGAATAGTTATAAGAAGTCAAATGGTAGTGCTACAAATAGATATTGGTATTGTAAATGTTTGCTATTGTTATCATTAAAAATTGATACTTATTGGCAATTGCAGGGCGTGGAGTATGTGTTTGGCATCATTGGAATACCCGTTATTGAGCTGTCGATGGCCTTCCAGGCGGCCGGCCTCAAGTACATTGGCATGAGGAACGAGCAGGCCGCCTGCTATGCCGCCCAGGCCATTGGCTACCTGACGGGGAAACCGGGCGTCTGTCTGGTTGTCTCCGGGCCAGGTTTGCTGCACGTTACGGGTGCGTATTCTATATAATATACCCTGTTTTTAGTCTTTATTTAATTATTATTCGATTTGTAGGTGGCATGGCCAACGCTCAGGTCAATTGCTGGCCACTAATTGTGATTGGTGGCTCCACGAATCAAGATCATGAGGGCATCGGTGGCTTTCAGGAGTGTCCGCAGGTGGAGCTGTCGCGTCCCTATTGCAAATATGCAGCACGTCCGCCCACTGCTGCTCTGATACCGTTGCACGTGGAGAAGGCGGTACGTTATACGACTTATGGTCGTCCTGGCGTTGCCTATTTGGATTTCCCAGGCAACATACTGCAATCGAAAGCGGAGGAGTCGCGCATCTACAAAGCACTGCCGCATCCCGTTGCCCCACTGGCTTATCCGCCACATGATGATGTTATCCGTGCCGCACAACTGTTGCGCCAGGCCAAGCGTCCCCTGATCATTATTGGCAAGGGTGCTGCCTATGCTCATGCCGAGAATATATTGCGCCATTTCATTGATAACACAAATCTACCGTTTCTGCCCACACCCATGGGCAAGGGCGTGGTCCCCGACTCGGCGGCGCAGTGTGTCTCCTCGGCACGCACCTTGGCGCTGCAGCAGGCGGATGTGGTCTTGTTGCTCGGCGCTCGACTCAATTGGATATTGCACTTTGGACGCACGCCTCGCTACGATAAGGATGTGAAATTCATTCAGGTTGACATTTGTCCCGAGGAGCTGCACAATTCGGTTGTCGCATCGGTGGCCATTCAGGCCGATATTCGGCCCTTTGCCGAGCAGCTGTTCGAGCAGATGAACGCTGTGAATTTCCGTTTTGGCTACGAGCAGGCCTGGTGGAAACAGTTGGCAGCTAAATGCCAAAATAATCGCGACACTGTCGCCCAGATGTCTCTGAATACAACGACGCCGCTCAACTACTATGCAGTCTTCCATCATCTGCGCGAGCTGCTACCACGTGACACAATCATCGTTAGTGAGGGCGCCAATACCATGGACATTGGTCGCTCCATGCTGTTGAATGAGCAGCCGCGTCACCGTCTCGATGCCGGCACCTTTGGCACCATGGGCGTTGGACCAGGCTTCGCCATAGCCGCAGCACTCTATTGTCGCGACTTTGCGCCCGGCAAACGGGTACTCTGCGTGGAGGGAGACAGTGCCTTTGGGTTCTCGGGCATGGAAATTGAAACAATGGTGCGCTACAAGCTGCCCATCACCATTGTGATTGTGAACAATAATGGCATCTATGGCGGGTTCGATAAGGACACATTTGAGGCCATACGCAGCGATGGTGATCTTACGCAAATGTAATAACTAAATCTTATCACAACTCAAACGTTTGGCACTAATCGCTCTAATCTTATCATGTTTATTTTTTTTGTTGACCTTCAGCACACCACCATCGGCGTTGGGCGTTCAGGTGCGCTACGAGGAGATGATGAAAATGTTTGGTATGCATGGCTATTTCTGCACCGAGATCGAGCAATTGCAAACCGCCGTTAAGGCCGCCAATCGACTAACGGATCGGCCCACAATCATAAATGTGGCAATAAGTCCATCGTCAGATCGCAAGCCGCAATCCTTCAACTGGCTGACCGAGTCCAAACTGTAATTTGTGTGAATCGGCTTGACTTGTCTTTTTTTGATATAAGCAGCAAACAACGTTTACAATTAGTTTTTAAGCATAAAGCTCGGCGGCATTCCCAAATGAATTTTCAAATGCATTTGTCACGATATTGTCTTTGTATATACACACGACACACACAACACACACACGACACACACAACAACACACACAATGCCACATTTTTTATATAAAGCCAACGATTGTAGAATTTGAAACGCAAATATTCTGTATAACTATAAAACAACAACTCGGCAAAGCTTTTTTCTGTGCTCGAGATACATATTTAAATAGGCAAAAAAATGTCGTGTGTTTTATATTGATGTATTAATCGGATAACACTGAAATTAGTTGACAAATGTTATTAGCTATTAGATATGGGATCAATGATTGGCGCGCACTAGTTCCTCTTCGAGGCCCAGGTAGTGCAGGAACCAATTGAAATCCACCAGACGACCCTTGTGCAGAAACGGCAATTTGGGGCACAGCTCGAAGGCGATGTTAAGCGGCGCTATATCCGGCACCTGATCCGCACTCATGTTGAAGAAGCCCAGCACATCGCGTACCTCAATCTCTCCCTGTGCATTGCGTTGCAACACCTGCAGTATATCCTCCACAAGTTCCAGGCTGAAAGGCAGTCGACAGCCACGCAGCGTGGATCGCACTTGTGACTCTTTGATGAACGCCTTGCACGTTGGATTAATGTGACTCAAGTGCTCCACTAGCTCCTCCACGCTGTTCCAGAGTGCACGCTTCAGTTCCAGTTGGGCAGCGGCACGCACATGATTCCTATCGCAGCTGGGTGGCGGCATCTGTTCCGCCGAGAAGTAACGGCAAACGGTGACAATCTCATGATGCTGCAACGCATCCTTGCCAAGATACGAGAGCAGTGTGGTCTTGAGTGTCTCATAGCTAATGGTGGTGCCATCGCCTAGATCAGCATGCGGCTTGCAGCGCAGCACAAACTGCTTATACTGCGGACGCACTGCATCGCGTATCCGTTGCATGATCGAGCGTATGTCGGCCACAGGAAACTGAAGATGAAATCGGTAAGTGACTGAAGATGTCAATGCTAAAAAACTGATTCAAATTCCTCACCTCATTGGGATGCTGTTCCATGTAGAGTAGCGTGAACTCATCTGCCGATATGATGTGGAATATGTGATCCTTGAGATTCAAACGGGAACCTATATAGAAATCATTGGCACGATAATACTCCGGCCTGGCCGAGCTAAACTTCTCCTGGCCGGGCAGCGCAACACGTGCTCTTTTCAGGAACTCGCCACCCATAAAGCCCGAGTTGCGTCGCGCCACTTCATAGATTTGAACCGTGTCGTCGGCCAGATAGTAACTGACCACAAAGCTACGCTCGCAGTTCTCCTTTATGATGGACATTAGCTTGGCACCGAAGCGCAGAATGCAGCCATCGTATTTCATAAGCTTCTTGAAGTCAGCCTGCGGCGCTTTCGGTTCCACTGTGATGCAGTTGCCCTCCGAGTCCTCGTAGCTGCCCCAGCCATTGTAGGGCGGCAAGCGACGCACCTGACCCTGGTGGTAAGGACGCTCATCGCTGCGTTCCGGCAGCGCTTGCGGTGTAAAGTTCTGAATGCCATACTAGGAATAACAATAAATTGAAAGTTCAAATTCTTATAAATATTTTCTATTATGAAGAAATGCGTTTCTGTCATTGTCATTTCTAATATTGAAGATTCAAGAACTTGTAGAAGCTGCAAGGGTTTATCAAATGTTATCCTCGAGCACCCACATCCAGAACTCACCTTTTCTCTGTAATAGTGTTGGGTGAACTGATCGCAGCTGGTCAGCACCACGTCGCGTCCAAACACATTCAATACGGCACCAATTTGTAAATCCTGATCGGTATAGTATTGCACCTGTTTCTGACCCGTATTCAGAGGATCGGCCACATAGCGCACATCACGCATGCTGGAGCCTAGCACATTGAGTAGGGTTAGGGATGTTTGCTGGCCCGGCAGTGCCAGACCCGTAAACTCCTTGGGCAGCTTGGCGCGCTTCAGAAATGTGCTGGGTCCCTCGCGACCCGAATTCCGTGGAAATTTCTCCTTAATGTCTATGGTGTCATCGGCCAGATAATAGCATATGTCCAAGCGGCGCACGTCACCATACTCGGAACAATCATTCCAATAGCCCTGGAACTTGAGCACTCGTCTATCGAACTCCAAAAACTGGGCAAAGGAATGCCGCTTGGGCAGGGCGCCCGTATCCGGCCGAGGTGTCTGCTTGATGGCGGAACGCTTGCGCAGCTCCGTCGTCGGATCGCTGAGAAAGAAGCCAGAGAGAAAGAAAGCTTTATTAAGATCCGCTGCAGATGGGTCTAAATGGGATTAGCTACTTGGGTTCGAGGAGTGCAACTGGCACCGAAATGCCGGCACGATTGAGGAACTGTCTGGTGAACACGTCACAGCCACTGATGTGATAATCCCTGTCAAAGATCTGCACATTGGTGTCCACATTCAAATCGAATACGGACAGAAATTCACGTTCATTTGGCGATGCCTTTGGGATACGCTGGCGGTGCACAAGGCAACCTTGTGGTATGCCCGAGTTCTCCACTTTGGGCTCCGTTATCTGCATGGTGCCATCCTCCAGATAGAAATAGATCTTCACCTTGCGCACCTGATACGGTGCATGATAGATCTCGGTCAGTGGCTCCTTGAAGTACGCGTTGAAGCAGAGCACCTGTTTATCGTACGCCAGCCACGGTGGCAACTTAATGCTCATCTTGGGCGCCCACAGTGCGCCTAATTCCGCCGACACTGGTGCACACTTGGGATCCACCAGCGGCCCATTGGGCTCCACCAACTCCGGTTCGCGGCGATCCGAGAGCATATGTATGCCCTGGTAGTGCATCAGCGTCTGTTTCCGAGGATGTCGATGCTTGCTGTACTGGAAAGGCAGAAGAGAGAGAGGAGGGAGGCATTTCAACTTGGCATCTTAAACACTTTTGGGACTACTCACATCGTAGAATTGTGCACCTGGCAGCAGCGGCATTCCCGGCAGTCGCAGCATTTTGACAGTAAATTTAAATTGATTTTATATATCCACTTTGAAATTTTGAAAATGCTTCCTGCCAAATTTCGTTGCAAATTACTCGATTTTGAGTTTGCTGAGCGACTGTTTCAACATTTTCGCTGTTCGATAAATGGAACAAACAGCTCTATGGCAATGCCCAATGTTTCTCCATGGCAGCAACAGCAACAGCACCAGTGGCAGCAACTGGTTGCAGCTAGCGGTGGTAGTGAACGGGGCTGCCTCAAAAGTCGCCTTCTAGGGGGTTGCAAGATGAGAGGCAGTTTTGTGGAATGCAATGAGTGGCATTGCTTGATCTTCATGTTGTGTCTCAGTTTGAAAAGTATTTATTTTCTAGATTAATTTTGAACTTTTTAATATACTAGCTTCTAAAAATAGTATTTATTACCTCTTTGGATTTTGGGAAACTTCAAATCGACAGACTCAAATTAGATTTAAGCGTTTAAATTATATTTAAGCGTTTAAATAACATTTATAAAACTAGCGACTAATTCAAACAATGCAAATTGTTTTTTTCTTTTTGTACAAACAGTTGCAAGGATCACATTACAAATAACTCCATGTTCTAATCATTATCACCAACACCACGATCATCATCATCATCATTGTCATCATCATCGGAAACTTTCCAATTGAGTTGATAGTATTTTTTCGCATTATTCGAAAGCCATTGAAATGCGCAAATTAGTGTACAAAAGTTGCAAGTGAAAAGCTGTTTGGAAGCGCTGCCACGTCTGCAAATAAGGATAAATACGGATCAGCCAATGGATTAGCGGGATAAGTGAGAAATTGTATATATAAATAATATAAATCATGAGTAAGGGATAAGTTTATAATATAATTATATTATGTGCCTTGGAAAATGGAATAATAGTTTAAACAGGCCAAATCAAATAGTGATTTCCCTTAGCGGATTTATTACATGAATAACTCTTTTTAATATTAGTTTGGACCAGGAATGAGACGGTGATTTAACTAGTCATGATCTAACTAAGCCATATTCTTTAAAAATCTTTAGTGATCATGATTCATTCCAGTCTTAAAGATGCAACTTCTGGGATATTAACAAAATGAAATAATATTAAGATGCTTCAGCTCACCGCTTGACGACCATAAAGTAGTAGGTTGTATAGAGGCAACTGGAGCAGTTGGTGGTCGTGCAGCGTGCAATGGGTCCATTGTTGATGTGCGAACTCATATAGGGTTCGGGCAGCAGGCGATGCAGTGCAGCATTCTCGTAGACGGGCACGTGTCGGTTCATAGTTTGTATCGCATGCAAACAGTCATCGTAGAGGGTCACCTGATTCTCCGGGGAGGGCACAGCGAATACTTTACGTGTGCCAACGGGCAGCAGCAGACGCTGTTGCGTCTCCAGTTCACGCACCCAAAACAGACCCTTCTTGCGAATGGAACTGGGGAGGGGGAGGTGAGAAGGTTGGAAAGTTTATTGAAAGACAACTTTCCTTGCACCCCATTCTCAACTCACATGGGCGTAATTTTTTGCCGATTATCGTAGAAATTCTGATAGAAGCGCTCGTAGACCATCGGTATATAATTGACGGAGGTGTTGTGAAAGATGCGCACATGGTTCATAAACTTGGAGAGTGCAGCCGGCAGATAGATGAGAGCACAGCCTGCAACATAAATCAAAAGTGACTCTCTCCTCGCTTTTACTTTTTCTGTGTCTCTCTGGTTTACTCACGATCTGCGGCCAGAGATTGCAGCATGGGTAAATTGGAGATGCGCTCGGGCAGATGCAGCAGTGCCTCATTGTCGCTCACATTGAGCTCGTTGAGACGCACACATTCGCTGAGCTGCAGGGGCAGTCGTCGAAATTGATTTTTGGCAATGTTCAGATGCTCCAAATTGCGCAAGGTGTTCAGCTCTAATTGGAGGAAAATGTCAAATTGATGCCAAAATGAATGTGTATCTCACTTACCCACTGGCAGCTCGCACAGCTGATTGCCACTCACGTTCAGCTGCTGCAGATTGAGCAGGAGACCCAATGTTTTGGGCAGTTCGCGCAACTCGTTGTTGGACACATCCAGAAATTCCAGATTCTCCAGCAAATATATGTCCACAGGCAGTTCGGTGAGATTATTGCCAGCCAAATGGATGAACTTGAGTGTGGTGATATTGAGCAGCCATTTGGGTATGACAGATATATAGTTCTCTTTCAGATATACCTCCTCCAGGTCCTCGTAGAGGAACAGGTCCATAGGCACGTCCTTAAAATTTAAATAGCTCCAGTGCAATATGGTTTTATTCATTTCAAAGCGTTCGAGTTACACAATTTTTCATCAACTTAATTGATACTGATAGATATTTTGATTGTTCCTTTGTTTTGGTTTTATATCTATCTAACTATATATATATATATATTTATATATATAGAGTCAGCTGTATTTAGTTTGTTTTTACGCGGTCATGATCAAAATTTGGCATGCGGCGCCTTCACTGTCACCCACAAAACTGGCCCCTCAAACAACAAACAGCAACAGTTTGCTCACACAAAAAAGTCTTCTTTTCTTTACTTAACTTTCTAGTCTCATTTCCACTTTGATATGCTCGCGAGCATATTCACTTAGTTTTCGCAGATCGGGTATATATATATATGTTAGAGATTTGAATTTATTTCTAAAAATGTTTATTTGCAATTGCTCGCTGGCGTATACGTAATGCGACAGCCTAAAGGTATGCAACAAATACTCTCGCTGCAAAAGCTCATTTGACACTGACATTGAATTTGATGCGGGTTGCACTCTGCAAGCGGCTGCATTGATTCGCAGCTTGTTCTTGTGTTTGTATTGTTGTTGCTGTCTCTTCAAGGTCATTGCGTTAAAAATAGAGCTGTGCGAGAGCCGACTTAAACTTTTCTGTGCTAAAAGCTTAACCTCAAGTTTTGGCTGGTGAATTCGCTAACTGTCGCTGTACTAAAAAAGACAGTAGCATGGAACTTGTACGTGGTTAGCCAAGTTTCAAACCCAACAACTGCTTCTGCAGAACAATTTTATCCTTTTTAAGAGTTACTAAACTGAAGAAACTGTGAATGATTGTGAATGATATATAGATATATGTTGTATATATGATATGTATGATTAAAATTGATTATGATTTTGTTATATTTCAAAGTTTATAGCCGTATCGTCTACATATAATTAAAAATAAATGCAAACAATTCAAAATCACTTTGCAGGCGTTACGTGTAACAATGTAAACATAACAAATGCGTTATATTGTATTCCCTCATTTGTTTATTTGTTTATGATGCCACAATATGCAGCCTCTCTGCGTTCCTTTTCCGCTTATTTAAACAATTTCGCGCACAAAATAAACAATCAATTCGCGACGTGAAACTAAAACGCAATTTATGATTTATTCTTGAAACAGATTTTTCGACTTTATTTTGACTATTTTGACAGTTTTCACAAAAGTGCAGTGACTTAATAATAGATCGGGGGATAGCCACCAAAATATGGGCTACTGAACGGTGAATAGTGATGATAGCTGCCGTAGGGCGAAAACTGTTGGTAGCCACTGTACGGCGACGAATAGTAATGATCATGATGATGATGACCATAATTAGACGACGATCCATAATAGGGCGACGATATACCTATCGGGATAGACAGAGGTATTCCCCCGCTGATGAAAATCGGCTTAGCTTCAAGCTGACCCATTAAAAGGCCAATAAGCGCCACAACAGCTAACAAGACTTTCATGATTCCACGCGAAGTGTGTCAACGAACTGAGTAGCGTTCAAAATTAAAATCACTTTTTATAGGCTCTGCAGCAAGTGTAAGAAATTTCACCGAAAGAATTAGCAACTAATTTAAAGAATGTTTTTCCTCCAACAAAAAAAAGCAATAATTTCTTGAATAAATATTTGCTTTATTTTGGCAAAGCAAAATTTCGACAATTTATAAAGCTCTACACCGTTTATCACAAGTCGCCGTCGCAGTACAGAAAGTAGGCGTGGCTTTTACGCACCCGCCTTTAGATTAATCGTTAGTTGCTTGAAATCACGATCGCTGAGCAAATGCCATTTATAGCCCAATATCTGTGAGATTTCACGCTCAACAGCTTCGTAGGAGCGCGAGTTGCGCCTCAGCCACAAATGGAACTCATCAGTCCACTCCGAGTGCCGGGGCCAGTCACAGCGCAAGATGACAGCGAAGCGACGCACGTGCAACTGTTGCAGATTCTTTGCGGTGCGCGCCACCAACAACAGGGTCGATGTGGACACCTTTTCCCGGATGATCTGAAGACAAAACAATAAAAATATGTATATGTATATATATATATCTATATATTAGTACCAGTGTATCCAGATTGAAGCACTGTCGGCACATCATCAGTAGCAGGCTGTCAACGCGATTGTCAAAGGATTTGGGACTGCTGAAGCGGGGCAACAGCTCATGGCCATAGATGGCCAGGGTGTTCTTGTAGTGATCCAGCATGCGGATGAGCAGATCGATGCGAATGCGTGCCTGTGGTGCCCAATACGTGATGCTGTGCACCGGTGCCTCTGGCTGCAGCACCACCTCACCGTCCACCAGATTCTCCACACGCAGATGGACTCTCAGACGTGGATTCGTAGCTTTGAGACTTCGCCAGGCTTTCACGCCACAGGCGCTAATGCTAAGATGATTGGGCGTATAACAGTTTTGCAGCAAATGCAAATGTCGCAATTTTGTGTCCGCCAGCAAGGATATCACATCATCATCTATATTTTGTGGCGATATAGTCAACACCTATGGATGGGCAGGGGCTGATTAGTAAAGTTCCAAGTTTAATTGCAAGTTTACTCACCTGCAGATTGAGAAATAGACCCACATGCATAATGGGGCAATGTGTTGTGGTTACGTTCACCAGATTGAGGACACGCATCTTGGTGCAACAGCTGCACACGACTTCGTCCAGCAAATGATTCGCCTCAAAGCGTTCCAGTACAAAATCAATCAACTTCAATGTATGCAAATCACTCAAACGCAGCATTAGCTCCTTCAGCCCCTTCAGCAGTTGACCCCCGGTGCCAAAGAGCTTGATGCCTTCGGGATCGTTGCGCTGGGACATGTTGCAGGGAAAATGATAGACCAGCGAGCGTATGCGTTGACCCATGCCCTCCAACTCACGCTGAGGATTGTGCTCCAAACCCTAGAAAGATGGCAAGAGGTTTATTGAATGCTATCTGTTTGGAGTTGTTTCCACAGTAGAATAGTCTAGGATGCCCTACGAAATCCTATTGTGCTTCAATCTATGTACTTTTTAAGCTTCCAATGATATGAATCAAGTTCAAACTGTGATCAACAAAGACTATAGAGACATGACTCTGTCTATATAAGTATATATGCAACACTATGAATATAAATAGAGCTCTATGAAAGTAGATCTATTTCTATAGGCAAGTATTACTTCTTACAGATTCTCACTGATCATTCTCATCTAAGGTTGCCAACAGTCTAAGATCTTTTGCCCTTTCCATTTGCTTACCTTATCCATGCTCCACGAGAGCACTGTCATAAACTGATAGATGTTATTGAAGCTATGCCAGGGTCGAAACTCGATGCCTCTCAAATGTTTGCCGATGCGTGCCAGACAATTCTGGGTACGCATATGATCCAAACAGTATTGCCAGCCCGAGTAGTAGTTGTACTTTTGACGCGTCAGAGTACGATCATCGACCACAAAATTATTCCAAACGGTGGGTAAATAAAAGGCACTATACCATTGCCGGCAAACCTATATAAAGAGAGAGAGAGAGACACAGTTAGATAATCCATCAGTTCCGCATATATCTTACATACCAGACTGGCATAGTAACGTTCCTTGGGGGTTAGATACGTGAATATGTCTTCGAGCACCAGATTGGGCAGCTCGGACCAACGGGAATAGGTACGCTGCGATTCATCTAGTTTATCATTCGGATCGTCGTCATTTTCATCTATGTCTATATAGCAGGCTGTCAGAAGAGAGAGGGAGAGAGAGAAAGAGAGATGGAGAGGAGGTGAGTGTGAGTGTGAGAGAGACGTAGATGGTTTTGCGTTTTTCTTTTCAATTTGTTGACATTTATATTCACTTTATACCCTTTGATTATTCGAGAGAATATTATATTTTTATCGATAAGTTTGTAACGCATTGAAGAAAAGTATATATACTCTTAATCAACCTTAGCCGAGTCGATTTAACCGGGTTAGTTTGTTTATCTGTATAAGATGGTCCATCAGTTCTTAATTTATTATATTCCTCACAACATCAGATGTTCATCGAACTAGTTTTATTATTATTCAATCGGCACTTAGACTTATGTCAGCTAGAGTATTTAATCTTCGACTTGCCTTAGATAGACGATCTTTCTGGTTTTCGTATACCTTTTTCATGCTCATCGATCTTCCAGCCTGCCTTCTGCATATCCTGCTTGTCCAGCTGGGCGCTGTCCTTGCGCCTAGCGCTAACTGCAGCCATCTCGATAGACAATTACTAATTCTCCTATATATTTGCTATATTTTGCATTTAAAATTGTCTCAATTATTTACAAGACGTGCCGAAAACAAGACACATTACGATATGCCACACTCTAATTTTGAAATTTTTGGCACCGCTTGCTGTTTTATTTATTTTTTTTCTTTTGTTGTGCTTTTTTTTTTTAGATGCGATTTATTTTTATATAGTTTGGATCGTTCGGTTCGCTCGGACAGCGTCGCATCGCAACGCGTCGCGTCGCGTTTGGGTTGAAGACTGACAGAGTCTTTAAACAAATGCCTTTCAATATTCAAATGCTATTTTCGAAAATTAGAACGAAAGCAATGCAAAAGTTGTAGTTTTTCGTTAAGTTTCGAAATTTGGTAAAAAAGCACGCCTTCGTCGAGTTTGTTGTTGTTTATTTTGGCTTGTTGTCTGTTTTTGTTTGCTGGAAATGATTTCGATACTTTTGTGTTTATTTAGAAATTGTTGTTGTTCGATGTTGATGTTATTCGATGTCTTTGTTATAATTAGATGGCCGACGTTTGATGTGGCAAGGTCTAAGGGCACACACACACAAAACTGGGGCAACTTGTTGATGTTGCCTCTAAAATCTTGTTGAGGTGTTAATTATAAATAAACGTTCCGTTGCATGCGATTTGAGCAACAACTAATCACTGAGTTAGCCGACTCTCAGCTCTCAAGTGGAGAACGTGTAATCCAACAACTCCATTTTCAGCACTTTGATAAGTCAAACTTCAGTTCTTTATTTACAAGTTTACATTATAAACAGGTGTAGTCTGGCATAGAAATATGAATGCCATATTGTTGGGGGCACATCCTATATATAGCAACCTAATACCCCAAACCCATTAAAAATGGGAAAGGCGGCATATTGAAATTGTGTTAAGGTGTGTCTATAGTCTATATATATTCTTGATCAGCATCAGCAGGAGAGTTGATTTAGTTATGCCAGTCTGTATGAACTTATACTTATAAATTGGCATAAAAGTTCTTGTATATTTTAGAGATCAAGATTTGATAGATCGACAATCGATTTCCCATAGCAATAAAAGACACAATTGTAAATAATATACAATAAAATGTTGAACAAACCGCTATCAGCAAACCATTTATTTGAAATATTTAACTCAAATCAAATTTAAATCGAATTTATATGAAATTTATTTGAAATATTTTATAATTTAAATATTCAAGACAAGCATAAGAATTCAATATAATATTTGTAAAGCAACTGCAAACATTAAAACAACCACTGTGTAAAAGCAAAGTTGAGTTTTTAAGCAGACAAAGCTACTTGGCCATTCTGTCGTCTGCTTTTGACATTTGACACCACTTTGCAGGACGCCAGTGGAGCTGAAATGCCAATGTCCTTCCACTCACCAGCATTGCTGTTGTTGCTGTTGTTGTAGTTGTGTAAGTTGTTTAAGTTGTTGTTGTTCTCCGTTGTCTTGATTATGCCACCAAACAGCTATCCAAGTTGTGCAGTTGTCCAGTTGTCCAGTGCTGTCTCGCATGCCATCGCTGTCAAGGAGCTGCTAAAGGAAGCAACTACACAGAGGCCATTGTCATTTCCGGCAGGTACACTTAGCGGAAACAGCTGTTTATGGCTCGTGTTCCCACTGGGTGCTTATGGCGACTACTAAAAAAATGTGCAAAGGCATTTTTGCAATTTTCTTTGCACATTTTCTGCAAAGTGACCAAAAGTGACTCAGACACGACTTTTTTATTATTACTGCAGGAGGTATTTTAAGCTTGTCGTGATGCTTGTAACGCATAAAGCTTGTAAAGAACAGATAAAGATTATATCCACTTGAGTGGTATCACTTGCCAAATGGATATAGCCATATCTAACTTACTGTTCCAATTTTCAAGGTATTTTGTTTGAAGTCACCAGTTATAAAATACTCATCATGCCGATCGTTCAGCTTTCTAAATGTATACTAAAATAGAAATGTCACCGGATTAACTCCGAGCTGTTAGGGTATGTAATCTTCGGCTTTGGTTGTCATCCGCTGCTGTTTTTATTATTCTTTTGCAGTCTGTTGCACACTTTTAGGATCAGCGCATTTTTCGCGGCTGAGCACTTAAAAATATGCTAAATATTTGATAAGCAACGCAACGAGCTGAAACAATTGTATGCAATTGTATGCCGTAATTAAAACAAATTTAAAAGCAGTTAAAACACACTCACACACACACACACTTGTGTGTGTGTGCGGATGGAAAAGCACTTCCGCATTGGGTTTGAGCACATCAAATATGACAGCAGCCGTTTGCCGGTTCGCACAGAAAATTTGTGTATGCAAATTTGAATGTCAACAAAAACTTGCCGTTTAACCCAAAAACCTTATTTTGTGTGGCATCGTTTGCCATTTTGCAACCGGCATCTGGCTTCTGGCAACCTGGCAACCATTTTGAACGTAACATTTACCAAAATGCTTTTTACACTTGCCGACTTTGGCAGCATGAAGCGCATTGCGCCAAATTTATGCTACCTACCTGGATGTGTGTGTCTGTGTGTGTCTGTGTGTGTCTGTGTGTGTGTGTGTGTGTATGTGTGTGTGTATGTGTGTGCTTACTTATTAGAGATGTGTGCGTGACTTAATAAACAAGATGTCCAAAATGGAAGCTAAAAAAAGATTTAGGTTGCGATAAGAATTATATTTAAATTTTAAATGCATGCTTAGCATATAATTTAGGCAGTAGTTTATACAGTTTATACAGCATAGCTTATATAATATGAATGCGATTGGACAAGTCAGGGCTGATATTACATTCACCATCTTATGCTGTCTGCATTCAGAGGTATTTCCTTTCTCAGTTTGTATTTATGTCTCACCTTATCCTTTTTCTCTTTCTCTCTTCTGCTTTTTTCTTATCGTTTACTATATCCGTCTCTCTTCCTCTGTGTCTCCCTAGCTGTACCTCTCTCTCTTCCTGCGCCTTCTCTTCATCTCTCTCTTAGTCACACTATAATTATCTCTCTATGGATTTTCTTTGTTCTTGCTCTCCCCTGCCTTCTTCCTTACTTTTCTCTCCCTCTTTCTTCTTATCTATCTCATATAGTACCTTACTTTCTATCAGTCGTTGCACTAAGTCTTACAAAATATGATTTTCTAGTGATGTAAAAATGTAATTTCATATATTTGATGAATTACTCACATTCAATTTGAGTTGCTTGACAACTGTTGCGATATTTGAAAAGTTGCATCTCTGACATGCTTATGCATAAGTATGCATATTCAAGCACATAAGTGTGCTGCTGTGTGTGCTGCTCTCTGTGTGTGTGGTGTGTGTGTGTGTGGTGTGTGTGTGTGGTGTGTGTGTACCGGCAGCTTAAAACTGTAAAACAGGAAGTTGCTCGTTGGCTTGGTTAGCCAAGCCCGGCCAAGCACTCGACGCTGTCTTCCTGGCTGCCAATTGTTGCTATTGCTGTTGTTGTTGTTGTGTTCTTGGTATGGTTGTTGCACATGTTGCATGTTGTTGTTCTTATTGTTGTTGTTGTTGTTTCTATTTTGGACTTGCTCAGGTGCATTGCGTTGGCAGCTGTTTTGGCCCATTGTTTCTAGCCGTCGGATGTTGCCAAGTTTTGGGCCATTTAATGTATAATTTTGTAGCATTTTAATTACATGCACTCGACTGCCCTCCTTCAACCCACCACCACCCTCCACGCCCCCAAAACATTGCCACCGGCGTCAGTTAAATTCATGGCATGTGGTTATGCAAATTGACGGCTTATGGCCATGGCTAAAACGTCGCATGACTTTGATTTTTGTGCATATGCACACTGCATTTGTGTTAACATTTTAATTGCAAATCATTTTGCAAGTCATTGAAGTAAGTTGTTCTTTGAGTTGTTGCTCAAATTGTTGTTGTTGTTGCTTATTGTGTTGCATAACTTTGGGCGTTTATTTGGGGTGGTCCTACCTACCTGGCTGGTTAAGTGCTCTCAACTGTAGTGGGTGAAGTACTTATGGATTATGTAACTGCTCAGCTTAAACTCGAACACTCACATTGAGTAGCAGTTTGGAGTTTTATTCTGAACAATTGGCGAACGCAATTTTCTTAGATCTGTGTTTAAATGGGGGAATAATGTAGAAGTATTATTTATGTATAAATGTTAGTTTAACGAGAGACATTTTTAAGTTATTTTGTGGAAAGTGTCGAAGGCGTATTTTGAAAAATCATGGCTTATATTGAAAAAATAATTGATTTGAATTTGATTCAGTACGAAACACATTTGATGAATTTTAATCTATGTTTTTAATTATATTTTGTATATTTTTGATAGTGAAGATACTCCTTTTGGGATATAGTTTCAGCAGAAATAAGGACTTTTATGTTATAATCTGTACGTCATTTAAAGTAGAATGCTTTAAAGTATAAAGCCTGAAGTCTTAGATGCAAAAGCGAGTCCTTGCTGAGTATCTTTAATGTGCCATCCTCTTGCAGCGACCATCTAAAGAAAACAAAGTAAAAAACATATTGAATAACAAATATAAAATAAATTCCCAGCTTAAATTTCTTCAAAAGTTTTCAAAAACAATTTTTAATAAATCGACAGAAATACATATAGATAGATATAAAAATCATTCGAAAAGTCAGCACAGTCTTAAGTCAGTTGCAGGCCCTGCTTTGACTGCTTTGACTGCTTTGACTGCTTTGTCAGCTGCTCATTTCTATATATCCCACCTATATCCCATCCACCCCCCTTGTCTTATGAGCGTAGAACATATCCGCTTTATATGCTAGCATATAAAGCTTTGCTGCGGGGCTTACCAAAAGAACGAAGGAACGAACTTTGTGGCAGTTGCAACTGCTGCCTGGCTGGCTATGAATTTGGATGCGCAGCTGTTGCTCGTATGCAAAGTTCTTCTTCTTCAATGGGTGCTGCTGTCTCTGAGTGGATAACTTAAAGCAGCCAAAGTTTTATATAAACTTACAAATAGGGCTCAATCTCAATCACAGCAGCGGAAGCAGCAAAAAAGACCCAGCAACCACCCACATTCAATTATCAATTGTTCTGGCGTTGTCACTTTAGTTCATCCTCTCCTCCTTCCCCTCCTCCTCCCATTATTCCCTTACCAGCTGTGGGAGCAACCCTCAATGGCAATTGGGTCGTTGCCACCCTTAGTAATTTGCCCTGACAATAGTCATGCATTTTAATTGAGCAGCAGCTGCGGTTCATCTAGACCCCAACACTCCCCTCTACGTCCCCGACCCTCTTAAACGCCCACTAAACGCAGCAAATTGTGGC